CAAAATAGATGGAGAAAAATCTTACAAAGCGTAATCGCAGTCACAAAGTTTCTCAGTAAACAAAATCTTCCTCTTCGTGGTCATCGGGAAGATTCTAATTCAAGGAACCAGGGGAATTTTCTTGAAACTTTAAAACTTCTTGCAAATTACAGTACAGTCATTGACGAACATATTTTCGGTACCCAACTCTCTAGAAAGGGCATGGCAACGTACCTTTCACCAGCTATTCAAAATGAATTAATCGAGCTCCTTGGTAAAAAGGTAAAATATCTCATTCTGGAGGAGATAAAGACAGCAAAGTATTTCTCAATTTTACTTGACAGTACTCCTGACGTCTCTCGATCAAATGGCTTTTATTGTTAGATACGTTAAAATCGACAGCAATAACGAGGTACAAATAAAAGAATCCTTTCTGAATTTCTTTCCACTTCACAGAAAAAATGCATACGAAATTACCAAGTCTATTCTCAATGAGCTTTGGCAAAATGGCTTAGACATGATGTTGTGTAGAGGCCAAGCATACAACAATGCTTTCACCAAGACAGGAATTCGTAATGGAGTGCAACGCAGAATAAAAGCTAATAATTCTAAGGCCTTGTTTATCCCACGTGGAAACCACTCACTCAGCCTTGCAGGAGTTCACGCAGTGGGATTGTCGGAAGTTTCTGAAACATTTTTTGCTGTTGTGGAAAGGATTTATTCCTTTTTTTTAATCTACTCACAGATGGAAAGTATTGCTAAAATATGTGCCAAATGTGGTAAAACGAGTGATTGACACACGATGGAAAGCGCATTACGAAGCTGTGAAAGCGCTTCAGCAATATTTCATTGACGTAGTGGGTGCATTACAACCTTTGTGATCAAAATGAAAACATTGATACACTATGACAAGCGCGTGGAATCTTGGATGCGATTCAGCGTTTTCCTTCGTTTCTTTTTTACAATTTTGGTTGGAAGTCCCAAGAGAATCTCATGACACTCAAAAATATTTACAGCGGAAGGGTCTGTCTCTGGAAGAGTGTACCCACAAGATGAAAGCATCCATTGTTTTTCTGAACAATAAGCGCAATGCAGTGGTAAAGCAATGCATTGAATGAGCGATCAAGATCTGCGAAGATCAAGAAATACCGAATGAAGAGAGACGGGTCAGAAAGAGAAAAAGGATTCCTGGCGAATATGCAGAAGACGTAGGTCTCTCGGCTCGGCTGTTGAAGAAGTCAAGAGATGCATGTTAAAAACTATGGACCGGTTTCGGAGTGAAGCTGAAAAGCGTTTCAGCGATATGTGTGCGCTAAATGAAGTTTTCGGCTTTTTAAATCCCCACTCCTTATTGTTGCGAAGTGACAGTATCGAAATAGATATGGACAATTGAGAAAATGTATGCTGATGACGTAAGTTTTACCGAGTTAAGACTAGAAATCTCTAGGTTTTATCGACTAGTACAATCGAGTGGTTTTACAATTAAAAATGACCCTACAGCGCTGGACGTTCTGCAGTGGTTAAGCAAACATCGTTTATGTGAATCAACACCTGATTTATTTACGAGTCCTAATCTTTACTTCACTGTTGCCGTTTCTATCGCAAGCTGTGAAAGAAGTTTTTCAAAATTTAAGTTGATAAAATCTTACTTGAGATCGACTATGGGAGAAAGCAAGGCTGTCTGCGCTAGCAATACTGTCCATTGAAAGTGATTTAGTCGAGACATTATCTTTTGACGATATAATTTCTGAATTTTCTTTATTGAAAACTAGACGTATTAAATTTGGAACTGTCAATAAAATTTAACAATTTCTGCTTTAATTCTTTTTTGTGTGGAATTTTATTCGGCTTTTACGACGGTGTTAAGGAGGCGGCATTTGGTGCCAAGATCCAGGGGCGCCACATTCCGTTGTTACGCCACTGAATCCCACCACTGGCTCCCATCCCTGCTGTTATCAGTGCTATACTTGTAAAAATAAAATGGATCGAACAAGAAGTCTTGAAGCGTAAAGGTAGGCTATATGAAAAGATAACAGTCGCAAACAGCTTAGATAGGCAATTCATAATGAAATACTTTGGCACTTTTCTGCAATTGAAACTACCCATCAACCTGATGTTGGAGAACTTCATTGATTTTTTCAATTCATTTTTTTTCAAACTATGAAGATCTTTTGAGGTTAACGAGGCAATAATAAATGAAGCTGAGGAATTTGTTCGTTCACTGTATGAAGTGGATATGAAGAATGTAAATGATACCAGGGGACGTCTTTTCAACACTGGCAAACATATGGATTATACTCTCCCACCCAATAATGATTCACTGAAGAAGCATGTTCTGAGGGCAAATTACCAGGCAGGACTTCATCAATGTTGACTAGAACCAAGTCCAATTATTCTCCCACTTATTGGCCATATATGGGTTCTTGATTATGATGTTTTGCGGGTTAAATTGATGGATCTACTTCCAGCCCCCAAATCAGTTCTTGAGTTGGCAAACTGCAAATGTAAGAAAAATAGGCGTCAAAATCATTTATGCACGTGCAAGCAAAAGCAACCTAAACTACACAGATTTTTGTATCGACTGCAAAACCACAGTAGGCTACATTTATAGAGTAAAATTTTCGAGAATGAGAATTTCGGAAGCAATTCAGAGGAAAGTGAATCAGATATTGAAGTTAATTTAATAAATATTAGTTATTACTTTTTTCAGACATCTGTTAGTGTCGAAGGTCCAGTTTCTATAAATAATATTGCCTTTGTTTCATATACACAACCACATAAACTGAATGAAACTAATTGTAACATTTCTGTTCACTATGTTATGTACATGCTGTATTCATTTGATTCTCTTTACTTTTCCGGTAGATTTATGTGAGAAATAACCGATTTACTTGTGTTTTTGTGCTCACGATGTGAATTTATGACTTCATTGGTTAAAAATAAATGCATTTGATAGCTTTTATACAATAAATGTAGATTCTTATGCTGTTCTTTGTTGTAAACTGTCTGAGGAAGTCCGATTTTGGTCAGACCAATGACATTAAAATCATTGGTCAGACAAACGTTACAGAAATACATTTGTGTTAGTGTGCAGCAGGGCTCATGAATTGCATAGTTTTTATGCTGTGTTGTTGTAAGCCTATGGTTATTGATTTTCTGGGAACCCCATTATATCCAATTTTGCACCAGGATTTTACCCGATCAACTTGTGTTTTTGTGACTTCATCGCATAAAAGTTGTTGCGTTTGACGAGTTCTATAAAATGAAAGCAACTTTTTATTCTGTGTCGTTGTAAACCTATGATTATTGATTTTCGGGGAATCCCCAATATGTACTATTTTTGCATAAGGATTTTTGAAGCATGTTTTACAGAAAATGTGCAACTTTCGTTAGCGGTAACAAGCTGTAATGCATTCAGTATGTTCGTTTTTATACAAAACTAAAGAATTTATTCAGTTCCTAGATGTGCGCCACGAAACTCACTTTCTAGGCGTTTTTCAGGGCCTCTTCTCACGGCCTAAGACTTCCATAACCACGACTACGTCGCTAGGCCATATTTTTCACAGCACTACGATCACTCACTAGCCTTTTAAACAAGGTTGCACCTAATCAAGTAATCATAATTCAAATCGTGTTTATAAATCATGGATACCCTCGATTTTTAGGGGGAATTTTGCTGTGCTCAACTTCAGATATACAGGGGTACATTGTGTTATAAAACTGTCACACTATAATTTGCATATTCATCTTCAAATATATTATAGGAATGAATTAATTATGGGTTTCATCTGATATGAAAATGCAAAATTGGTTCATTCAATTAAAACCCTGCACGGTTTAGTACTGGTGTTAACTGATATTATTCAAAATATGGCAACCCGTTAGAAAAAACTCACTTGACTTCTGATGATGTCACAAAGTGTTTATGTGATGCTGGCCAAAGTGAGTCTGTTGCTGATTGTCGTTATACTGTTGTGGCTAACTTGCTTCGCAAAGCGCCTTGTGGTATTTCCTGCGGTATGATATAACTGGGATATAAGTTAATTTGTTACTTATTTTAAGGAATGATTTTATTTTTGTTTAATATTAAACTGAAAGATATTCAATCCAAGGGGGAGTTTACCGGTACTCTTGTACACTTACACGTCCTGCAGTCCTATCCCCAGAAACATCAAAGCGAAAAATATCAGCAGCGAAACTCCTGAGTAGTAATGATGTTATTTCTGTATTTCTACTACGTTTTATGAATTTCCAGTAGTTAAACAGTCGGAATCTGTCTAATGAATTGCATGTGCGAAACCCGGAAAAATCGCCGCTAGAATCATAGGGAAATGAACGTAGGCAAGGCAGTAGGTTCTACTTTGCCGTTCACGTTAAAGCAAACGCCCCTTTTCTGCCAAAAGAGAAACGTGGATGTGATGTCATATCCATCTCCAACTTCAAACTCTTAGCTATGAACAGACGATCTCTTTACAAATCTGTGATATTAAGCATCCACATAATACAAAAAGAGTTGGCTTGTTTGCGTTCACCCATACCTATATTTTGATTTTATAAATCAATGATATCGCACTGATTGTGGTGATTAATATACAAGAACAATATTCTCATTATGGCAGAGTTTATTACTGATAATTCATTTATCTAGGATGCGCGACAGATAAACATCAATTTGATCAATATAAGCATCATCATAATAGCATCATTCCTAAAAATCTGAGACTGCGCTAATATATTCCTTAATTGTCCACATGAATTATTGCATGTGTGGTTACGGTTAGTCTCTTGAATGGGCTAAGATTTTTCGAGGCAATATTTGAAATGACCGTCGTGAAACTGACAGTTTGTGGTTGTTAAGTTATCTGCCTCGATAATCTTCGATAGTCGATTTTCATGATATTACAAACATTCAGCTGTATTAATACTTCCAACGTTCGAAATGCCTTACAAATTCACATATCGCAAAAATGTTGGCTTACTAATGAAAATGCCATGAATGATTCTTTTTCATATTTAAACAAATTATAGTGTATACCAGTCGCAATGAGTAATTTCTCTCGTGACTTTTGGGAAAATTTGGACGCACAAACAAGAGAAGATTACTTCAGATATCCAGGTCCGAAACACGATGAAATCGTAACTGATCGGTAAGAATGTGCCCACCTTTCCCGATTACTAATCTAATTTTCAACAGAAATTTTTAAGCAGTGTTGAATATATATTCTTTTGACTATGAAAATTACTCATAGTTATGACGATATACAATACTTCTCCGTAGAGTTATTAACAACTTGGATTTTAATGATGTCTCAATTTTAATGATTTTATTTTTTTAATGCAAAGAAGTTTGACGTTAGTTGTATTTCATGATATTTGTGTATATAAGCTGAATCGTCTCTTCCTGACACATTTCGTAGGATGAAAATATTAAATTTATTCCGTTTAAAAAAAAATAGCAAAACGCAGAAATTCACATGCACTTGTCTTTATTCAACTCAACAGTCATTTATTCATTTTATATAACAGGGAAGTACTTGCTAAGATCGAGGATTGCATAGTTAGACTTTTGAATGACGTCCGGCATCTTCAACAACCCAGTCTGCAATTCAGGTATTTTTGTAAATGCGTGTCACTGAAATTGAGTCGTCCTAAACTCTTAATTTAAGAATCTAGTGAGAAGACGAAGATTTAATACTTTAGTGTCATACTGCTAATTCCAAATTTGTATTTGCTGCTTTGTGCTAAGTTATCTGTTCTACTCGACTGAAGCCTGTTGTTGCCTTGTACGGAACGCTGTGATTACTTTCACACTCTGATTCCAGGTCAAGATCAACTTGGCAAAATGTTGAATACATACCTGGAGTAGGACTGCAAGTGAAAAAAGATTGCACTGTGTCACGCATCTCTCTCTGCAGAAATAACTCTTGCTATAAATTCGGTACTGTATTATTTTATATACATATTTATCAATAAGTGGAGCGACCTGCGCTAGTTTTCACAGAGCAGCGTTTCCCAACCTTTTTTGGTCGCGGACTATTTTCTCACTGGCGAAAACCTTTGCGGACTCAACGTGAGTTTATTGCAACCGTACTCTGTGTGAAGAAGTAATAAAACCAAACACAACAGAATTTTACCGAATTTCAAAATTGGAAATGCTACGCAATTACGCCTTTGTTAAAAAGAGCCGACTTCTGTAGTGTATAAATGGCCTTTTCTGTCGCACAATATTCAATCCTTGACAACGACAAGAATTTAAAATGTGTTCTTATTTTAATTTAATTGTGTTCATGGTCACTCGCGGTTGCGTTGAATTATGACAAGATGAAAGCATTAGTTCTTTTAAATGCCACGGCAATCTGCGAACATAATAATGTGAGAATATATTGCCCGGTTATATTTAGTTTTGATATAAATTATTTGCGATCTTGCGAATTTGTTATCGCCGTTGTACAACTTGATTTAGTACTTATTAAAAATATAATTAGTATATTAGTGAATAAAAATAAAAAATATTCATCGCCTTGCTTTAATATTAATTTAATTGTGATCATTTTAATCTGCGGTTGTGTTGACAAAATAAAAGCAATACTATTCAGAAAATATCATGACAATCCGTGGACCCAAAAATGCGTGGTAAAAAGCCCGATTATACTTTGATTTGATTCGTATTTTTGTAAATTCCACGAACATGAGCTGTTCGTACAACAGTAAAGCCAGGAGTGGGCAATATTTTGTCGCTCGCAGGCCAAAATTAAAGGTTGCAAGTCATTGGTGGGCCGCGCATATTTTTAGAAAGTTAAAAGCCGGGCGTATGGCCAATGAATCACATTTTTTCACACAGATCAGAAGTTAAATTTCTGCTATAAATTTCTAGAAAGTACAACTTGATTCAGTAATTATTAAAAATATAATCAGTATATTAGTAAATCAAAAAAAAAATATTCATTGCCTTGCTTCAATATTAATTTAATTGTAATCATTTCAATCTGCGGTTGTGTTGACGAAATAAAAGCAATACTATTCAGAAAATATCATGAAACTCCGTGGACCCAAAAATGCGTGGTAAAGTGCCCGGTTATATTTTGTTTTGATTCGTATTTTTGTGAATTCGACAAATATGAGCTGTTTGTAGAACAGTAAAGCCAGAAGTCGGCAACATTTTGTGGCTCGCAGGCCAAAATTAAAGGTTGTAAGTCATTGGTTGGCCGCGCATATGTTTGGAAAGTTAAAAGCCGGACGTATGGCCAATGAATCACATTTTTTCACGCAGATCAGAAGTTAAATTTTATCGAATAATAAATTGCTATTCTAATAGTTGTATATTTGAATATATGCCAAGCCCTACTCATTCAGTATCCAGAAATTATTGACTCGATTAATGTTACATGAATAAACTTGCTTTTTATGTTTTATGTAAATTCTAACGTAAATCGTGGCTGATGGTTAAGTTTCGCAAAAACGTTTGCGGCCCGCAGTGAATTTCTGGCTCGTTGCGGACTCATTCAAACGCTCGCGGACTCATTTGAGACCGCGGACTCGGGTTGGGAAACACTGTCCTAGAGCATTGCTTACCAAGTCCCAGCCTTTTATGGCTCTTGGCCGTCTTCCGGAGGCCTTCAGCACTCGTACGGTCATTCTTTTTTACAAGCGCGACAGAGACTCTCCTGGAGCGGTGTCTCCACTTGTCCCACGTGTCCTACTGAAATCCTCTCATCAAGCCCACTATCGATGGGCACCGTCTGTGCAAATATGTTTGAAATTGAACCAGCTGAGTTCATTAGCTTTACGCACATGAAAATGTGAAAACATCCTGAGATTGGAAACTACTTCCTATTCGAGTAAATCCAGTTTTTTCGTTTCCAGTTTTGAACGAAGCCGACACGCTTACATGGCCTTCTATCTTAGAACGCCTTGATTGTCAGTAAATTCCGAGATACCGTAGCCCAGCCCGGGACACGGGACGTGATAAAAATCCATGTAAATCAAAAAATAAATCATGTATAATGCTAATAACACATGCGAATTATGGCGAAAGCCACTATTCGAATGCTATCGAATTCCCAATATCTATGACAGGGATGGCGAACCACTGACCCGCGGGTCACAAAGTGACCCACCGCGTTTTATTCGTGACCCGCCAAGGCCCTAATAAAATAAAAACTGCTAACATATCAGTGATAAAAATTGATAAAACCGGATTCGAATTAATCTAACAATAACTAAACTATTATAATGTACCAGCAGTTGCACAGTCAGGGCTGCGATCGCTCATATTCAAATTGTTAATTTTCGGGCCGGTAATTTTCAAAACCCCTAATCTTGGACGCATGTCTGCACTGCTGTGTACCATTATTCAGCTATTGGCTCTGACATCGTTTATGACATAACAATGCAATAGATCTGTTCATTTCTCGGTCTCTTGCAGATGTGCATCTGTAGACTGTTTTAGGGGCTATACGAGAACTAGATGTTACATTACATTTTATTTGTTTCTAGCCTATAATTCCATTGAGAAAACAAAATCTTTCAGACTTGAAATAAAAACCTAGAAATCTGAAATAACATAGGGGCAGTGCAAAAGTGCCTTAATGTGATTGAAAGCTGATAGGATAATATAACTCTATCAAAGTGGAATTCCCTCCAAACTCTTTGGAACCGTGAAATAATTTGTGCTGCATAAGTAAAGCCCAAAACTATACCAACTCCGACAGAAGCTTAGAAGATTTGTTTCAGAAGTTCCTTGTATAGATACTAACATTGATTAAATATCTGTGACCCACTCTCTTCTGTTCCGCGATAAAAATATAATTTTTGACCCATTCATTGAAAAAGGTCGCCATCCCTGATCTATGATGTCGAAAACTATTTTTAGTGTTGATGTCATTGTCAATTACTCAAATTTATCGTTTAATTTATTACACATGATATGATTTCTCATGAAATGTTTTTCAGGATTGTGTTTGAAGGTCCTCAGTATGATATACAAGTTATTACAAAGTAACCAAACAGCTACAAAAAGGGATTTGTTTTACAATGACCCGAAGGTATGCATGCATGGTATAAACTTTGACACGTAATTTGTGCGTGCTAATATTTTGTTCCAAAGTATGGGGGTACGTTCATAAGGGGCTTAGCCTTTGGAATAGCTCCATAAAGTGCAATTATTGGCAGAATATGTCCATGTGTGATTTGTAGCGTTTTCTTATGTTTATAATCGATTTTTTTGATATATCGTTGTCGGTATTATCTGGCGTAATTAGTATCATTAAGTTGACTTTTTTGTTAAGTTGTTCAAAAGTCAAACCACACTGGATCATTTAGTTGACGATATCGGTTGCATGCTGGGCGTACCAAGACACATGCTCCACGTTGTCGCTACTTCAAAGGGCTGCATAGCCGGCGATTTAAAACTGACCTGCGAGGATGGTGAAATAATAGATTGCTCAGAATCAGCATCGGTGAGGTCTACTACTATTTATATTCGAATAGAAGTAAAAATATGATATGCCATCTCTGTGACACAGTTGCAAAATCACTAGAAGATTTCAAAACTTTGTAGTTGTATGGCGTCGAATTATTGTCATCACTATATTACCGCATGCGCTTTTATACAGGGCGTGTCGGTTCCAGTGCAAATCCATTCAGTAACTTCCGTCGTGTCGAAAACTGCTAAATTTATCCTAGTGATCGAAAAAGATGCGACGTTTCAGAGACTATTGAGTGAGAATCTTCCCACGATTTTATCATGTATTATAATAACGGTAGGTTTTTTTCGTTATTCCACTTCCAAAACTGCACTTTTCTTTCGATATTGCTTCGTAAAATATGACAAAGGGCATATAGATTTATTAGAAACGTCATGTGCCAAATTAAATATTCAAATATTTGACAATTCCGAGTTTGATTTTTGTTTCAATAAAACTATCGTGTTTGGAAGTCCAAAATCTTTTTCATTTCATATATGATTTTAAGTAATTTTGTTTAAAGCGAGGCCATGCGATTTCACTTAGAAACAAAGGGGATCGATCTATGAGTGAAAAAACTAGGTGCATTCTGTCAGAAAGTTACCAGGACGGGCGGGGATGACTACCCAGCCTGCACCCGAAGTCACAGGCCGAGCAAATTTCGGTATCCATCGATGTGAGTTCGGTAGTGAAGAAACAGGTTGCTGCGCTGCGTTACCATCATTGCAGTAACAGAACAAGAATCATGAGCGGGCCCCGGAATTTTGAATATTGTGTTTTTAATTCACACTGCGTTTACAGGGTAAAGGAGTACCAGACGTTAATACTCGACTACTGACCAGAATTCTCAGTGATCGACTCCATTTACCCGTTCTAGGGTTATTTGATTCGGATCCTCATGGTTGGTATTTATTGTGTAGCTTTGTATGTCGCGGTTCTGTTGGTATGCTGCATAATCATATCAAAGTGTATTGTAATATTATTTTGAATTATTTGTCCCCAGGCAAGACCAACTGGGAGCGTTTTGCATCTTACCTTGCACTGATTACAGAATAAATGTTGTATGAATGTCTATTAATTTTTTTAGGTATCGAGATCATGTGTGTTTATCGTTTTGGCTCTCTCGTGAGTATTTTTTATATTGGGTCGTTGTACACAAAATAGAGTGCATTTCTGATTAATTTTAAAAAGTAGGCCTATCTAAAAAAGCTAGAAACGTCTTCTTTTCACAGTTTTGTATTTATATTTCTCGAGCATACCAATAAATCAATAAAATACATTGGTGAATAGCATTCTACTTCTACTAAATTTTATTCCGTTCTTCAAAAGCTGAATTCCCGCGATGTGAGATAGGGATATATACAAAGCTTTGATGTTCACCTTATTCTCTGCAATGGAGGAAAATCTGAACTCTCATCGCACAGTTAAAATGACAGACGTGTAGATATGTATATATATTATCATCAATTTAACGGTTCCCATTTGAACCCACGACAATTGCACCTGCATACTATTGCACCTATGGAAATTTTTTTTTGTTTCGCGGATATTTGAACCCAAACTAACCCTAATCTATGGGTTTTAGCATCCATGGGTGTACGGTCACCCAATTTAACATCACGATTTTTGTACCGTCTCAATTAAATATTTTCTAGTCTCTAGCCTATGATTCCTGCAATCTTGCTGTGAGAAACATGAAGTGGATTGGTTTACTGCCAACTGATGTTAAAAGGTTTGTTATTTTGTTGGAGATCGAACTTATTCCATTGAGAATCGCAATTTGTGGGAAATTTAATTAAATAGAATGTGTAAGCGTTTATCTTAGGTTTAGTGCGTTGACATATTTGTTTTTTTCACACTATATATTCTTTTAAAATTACATTCACCGAGTGAGCTATATTGTTATATATATTATTTATTGTTCAAGATTGCTTAAATGTGCTCAACGTAAGCGATATTTGAACCTGGTACACGACAATGACATTGCCCCTTGAAACTCTCCACTTCTACAACCATCGAGCTGACAATTTTTTGAGGGGGCATGAAGCTAATTAAAAACAAGAGAGCTGTGCTCAAATATATGGACACGTTAACCAGAGCGAAGCAGTATTTACCTTTGACGCCACCGGTACCCACAAAAAATTCCGAGTTTCGCGTAGAAATAATTTACAGAATCAAACCGGACAGCCAATGTTCCCATGAATAAAATAATACAGCGAAATTTTAGACGAAATATCAAATTTCATGCGAAATTTAGAAATAAATAAAAGTAATAGCCTTCTGGCAAAAAAATCAATCTTTACTCACTGAAAATTTCAAAGCAATTGGTCCAGTAGTCAAAGAGAAATTTTAATTTTTTTAAAAAAAATGATGGAGACAAATAACAATAACAACAAAATTTTGAAACGATCGTTATGTCCACTAAGTGTCCAATAAGAATATTTTGTTAAATTTGATCTTGCCCTTCTTATTTTGGATATTTACATTTTAAAAGTTTGAGAACCACCGGTTTGGCAATAATATATATTCCATTTGTCTTGTAGACTGAATCTACCGAAACAGTGCCTACTTCCTTTCAGTGGAACAGATGAACGCAAATGTAGAGACTTGATGAAACGACCTTACATGGCAAGTCATCCGGAAATACTGAAACAGGTATTCCACGCTTAACAATGACATTTCACTGAAACCTGAATGCTAAGTACATATATATCTATTCGTATTCAGGTGAAAGCGATGGAGGAATTCAAACACAAAGCAGAAATTCAGTCTCTTTCTCACATCTCTTCAACATTTCTTGGTGATGTTTATTTGCCTTTAAAAGTCAAGCAAGGCGAGTGGATATGAAAAACCGACCGGTGTCCGATGCTAAAGTTTTTGAGTTTGTATTTAGATGTTCCTCACTGACTGTTGTTTGTTTTTCACCGGCAAAAAAAGCCTTCGTAAATTATCGTGTTCCAAGGTACTTGTGATCTCGCGAACTCAACGATATTAAAAAAAAGAATTTGGTTTTTTTGTAGGTGGTTTAGCTATATGCATCTCTTCTTACTCATTGCAGTTTTAAAAAGGGCAAGTTTATATTCTAGTTGTACGATGTTGTTATTGAACAGGACACACAAGAAAATATGCTATGATATATAAAAAGACAAATGGTGAAAAAATGCGTCAGTACTAAAAGGTTCATCTATGTCAGTATTTACATCATGTTGACTGACATTCCAACGCGAGATCAGGATTTGAGGAAAAACTGTCAATTGTTAAGCGACGCATTTGTGTTGGTATTTTAAAGCTAAAAGTTTTCGAAGAAATGCAGAAACTGTGATTTTCCTCTGCGATTGATATCTTTGCTAGACGATTCTACGTCGTTGGTTAGTCCAGGTGGACCGCAACTGAACACTCCGAATTGTTTCACCTGGGATTGTAAAAAAAAAAAACAGCAAAAATTTAAAACTGTTTATAGTGTCTGGTGATATGAAATGATTCAGCTAGGAAAAGATATAAACCAATACAGTATTTGCTTTTGGTTTTTACCTCTTCATGAAGTCCCTGCAGAGCTTCAAAAAATGATCTAAACTGTGGCCGACCAAAATGGGTAGTTGCTTGAAGTCCCGTGAATAGGCTTTTGTTGGCTTCTTTTTGGAAGAATCTTTCACATATGTACTGTAAATTAAAACATTCGCATCATACAGGCTGATCCAAAAACAGAACCCAAGTAATTTCGAACATATGCAATCTAGAGAGAACATAACTTTTGTGCGAAACGGGCTACATTACTGAAACTTTTGCGCATCATACGCAAACAGAAGTTCAAGTGTTAAATAATTTACGTTTTTGGGGGTTCACCGTGTAATTGGAAAGAAAGTCACCGATGGTTGTTGTACAAAAGATACATATGGCGCAACGGGCAAGTTTCCTTACTGTTTATCTATACATTCGTTTAAAATACTGACCAACATTGTTGTCCTCAAGTCAAATTTGTGATGAAACTGTGTGATATAAATATGTGTGTCCACCATGTGTTCTCGATCCGCATCTTCAAGGTCTTGTATTATGTCCGTCAACCATTCGAAGTGGCGTTGAGTTCGCGTTACCCAAATGAAGTATACCTGAGCAAACGAATAAAATAAATTTTCGAATGCGTTCTGTGACATGTCTCAAAAATAAAAGTTAAATTGCATCATATATATGCTAAAAATATGAAACGCTTGAATCGAACTTGTACTTTGCCAAAAATAATATAAAACATTAGCTAACATATAACAATAACTGCTTGCTCTTCACCTTTTTACATGCGATTTGAAATCCCTTGCTGGTTTTATATTTTTGCACAATATCTTTTAATATGGAAGCAAATGGTGTGACTCCGATTCCTGCACCGACGAGTATAGATACTTCGTACTTGTACCAATCTTGGTGACCTTCTCCGAACGGACCGTCCAGATACAGCTGAAAGCAGTACATAGGTTAGGTTAGAGCTTACAATCAGATTGTCAAGTTATGAAGAAGTTCATTTAGATATATAGTATCAATATATATACACCTTTGGATATGCCAATTTCTGGTCTCTTGCTTCTTGATAAATTCTACGTACATTCTTCGTCCATGGTCCTACGGCTCTTATGTGTACCGATAGGTGTTGCTAAAGTATACAAATAAGTAGATCAGTTATTATAATTTAGTTACCAAAGTATATTAGGAAAGAATTACCCACCTCGTGTGGAGCTGACGTAAGAGTGAATGGATGATATTCAGTTGTTCCAAGAGACAAGCAAGCTATCCTGACCCATTGCCCTGATCGATAATCAAATCCAGTTGGACGTTTGAATACGAGATTAAGAACATCTAAAATAAACAAAAAAGAGATATTAAACACGGTCTGTAGAACTGATATGTAATCAAAGCAAATCAGACTGGAAAAAATTAATAAATAATACATTTCGTCAATTTATTTACATGTAGGACTGCATATTTTAGCTCCAATTATGTTCACATTTCGAGTGTTTTATGGAAGCTGTATGTTCACTTACCCGAAGGCAGAGGATCAGCTTTCACTACCGCTGTATCAACTTTTGAACGACTCAAAGTTATCAGTTGATCAACTGTAAATATGAATGCAGGTCCGACAAGATAGAAGTGGAATAGAGGAGATTGAATCAATCCGACCGATCCGTGCAAGATCATGAGAATGAATAGAACCACTACAAACGATAAAGTAAAAATCGTATAGAATAGAAATACAAAATTTGTATATTTATCGGCGATTTTTGCGAAAGACCGTCAGCAAGTATCAGTTTCCATGAAACATGCAACAGTAACCGATAGAAGACGGAAATGTTGTTTTTTCTAATAAATACTGTTTATTTGTGTTGAGCTAGGCTAGAAGCTATACTTCTCTGCCATTTAGAATTATATATTATTCTTATTAAAAAGGCCTATACACAAATTCTTATTTATGAGCATACCAAAAAGATGATGCGTCATCCAGAAGGCTCGAAAGCAATATCTCCGAGAGTACTGCATTGCAAAGACATAAATTACTGACAGCACGGCCACCAACAGTATTCCAGTGAATCCAGTAATTGTTTTATAAAGCCACCAAACTAGAGGCGGTGGCAGATCAGATCTGAAAATTGAGTGGATTAAATCAATCTCTAGTATATGATGCAATAAGTAAAACTATCACCATCTATCAATCATTTACGCACGGTTCATCATCTATACTGAATAAAAAAAATGAGAAGTATTCCAAGTACGGTATGTTTTAGTTGATGGTTCACACAACATATATATATATATATATATATATCTTCCTACATATACGTACCCATCGTCCACCAGTAATTTTGGAAATACGCACGCCAGCGCAGGAAGAGGATGAACACTTAGATGATAGAAGTTAATGATATGTCCGAATACGTGAAAACCTAAAATAATCACATAAAGCAATAAATGTAATGACGGCTTTCTCAAGACAGAAGGTGACTTGGTAAACGGTAATTGCATACTCTAAATTCAAGGTGGTCGGAGTTTGTCTGCTCCGGGGGCCACAAAATTATTTTTGCATTATTCGCGGGCCACAACATAAAACATGCGAAAACCACCAAAAAACTTACTGAAACTCGGAAAAGTCTATATACATCTACATTTAGTGTGAGATTTTAGGCTCTTCATAACGAAAAAATTGCATCCGCAAATGTAAGGGCTTTCGAACGTCGATGAGATTTACAAAGCAAAATCCTAACTTTGGAAAATGTTCATTGCTCACAACACAAGATTCTAAAATGCCGTTTTAAATTATGCCGACATATCAAGCAAGCATTGTGGCATTTTCCCTCCCATATCCAGTTAAAAATCTGTTTAAATTCGTCAGCTTTCTTTTCAAACTCTTGTTTACAAAATAACTGCAGATTGATTGATTATCAAATGTAAGGTACAGGAGGGTAATTACTAAATTTTCTGACATATAGACAGCTTTTTAGTAATGCTGTTCAGGCTGGTTGCAAAAAAAACACCCGATATGAACTATATTGTTAGGCCATAACATTAATATTATTTAGTTATCTGGCAAAGCCAACCTAGGCTAATAGAATCCGCATTCGATTTTTAGTTTTCTAGAATGCCAAAATTGTTAGCATGTATTCCCGACCAAAAAAAAGAAAGCCAGATAACAATTTAAACTGCCAAGCACATCATCCAACTTCACTAGTTGGCTCAGCTAACCATAACACTAGTCAATTCAGTGATATTAGTGGGGTAACAATATGTCAAAGATTTGTCTTGTTAATTTTACGACGAAACAACACCAAATGCAATTTTTTGATTTCTCTCCGAATGCAACCCGGGCCACAGATAATGAAACCGCGGGCCACATGTAGCCCCCGGGCCTGGGGTTGAACCACCCTGCTCTAGATAGTAAGATCGACGGCAGATTTTGGGGTTAGAAGATGCTCAGTTATTTGTTAGAATATTTCATTCAACTTACCGGTTTCAACTATTGCAACATATGCAATTTGTTTGTGAAAAGCAACCGCTGCATCGAACGGAATGAAATTGTTCAAAAAGGTTTCTCTGCAGAAGGTGATCAAGTTTCGACACATTGTCAGAAGAATGATTGAAAAATGGAAGGATATCGCAGCTGCTGCTCCTCGGCTGATTATCAACCCCCACTCAGTGATTTGACGTATGCCAGTATGTTCGCTTTTAAGAGCATAATCTGTTAATAAATGAATGTCGCACTATTTTTTGCATTGTCATTGACAACGAGAGTACGAATATCGGTTATCATAGAATTAAACCAATGTAATGTGTAGAATCTTGGTAATCAGTTTATATATTAGGCAGTGCGTCGTCTGTATGATATTTTTCATATTTAATTAATGTTGCAATATATTATATATATATACTTACGGGTAGCTCGCTCGATAACAAGAGCTGCAGTAATAGAATAAAATATTACGATGCAGAATATATGACGTCTGTTGTTTTCAACAAATCGCTTAAAAATCTTGATGTAATTCCTCCAGCCTGTGTAATCCTCTATATTGGTCTCTGACATCAATGTGATCCTGCTGTATAAATTACAATTTGGAATTATAGGACTCGAAATGGACTTATGGATCGTTGTTATTTTGTAGTTACTATTCTTCTTAGTATTATTCTTTTTGCTGTTGGTGTGAAAAACAACAAAATGCTTTGAAATTTCAATTGGTGAAAGATAGCTGTTGTTGCTAGAAAGCTAATATTTCAAACATTTTTTCTATGGACTCTATGGGATTCGTTTTTCACCTTGACGTTATGTGTGTTGACCTCATCAATATTAAAAATTGCGCACCGTGTGGCTGTTCCGAGATCGCATTTCAGCGATCTGGTTGGTGGTCAGCGAAGTCGAGTGTTCTTTGATAAGAAAGAATATCGGTACCGTTTCGTTTGGGTTTACGTGATGTCCATATATTTTTGCATTGCTCTCATGTTATGCCCTACAGGATATACTCTGATAGTATAGCGAGTGTGTGTTTCTATTGGTATATACTTTTATATAAAGCGTCCTACGGTTGATACAATGAGAATCAGGATCTCAGCTCAGCATTTTAATGTCCAAGATTATACAGCCTAATTGATTCAGTAAATTGATCTCAATTAAATTAGATATTGTGGAATCACTTTCATCCATAGTATTGACAAAGGAACCAGAAAATAGTTATGTATTGTGTAATTTTACCTGGTTTGTTTTGACATGGCATCTGTTGTTTTGCTTTTCTTACGATTTCTCATCACGGATAGTTGTGGTGCAAGTTCTCTGTAAATGAAAAGATGCATATTTAAATTTATAAATTTCAACGAATCAACTGCATCACATTGTATACTTTTGTTTTCCAGACGGTTGTCGTTCTTTCGCAATGGTGTTTTTTCTTGTCGTGGCTTGTTTCACACCTAAAGTTTATTGAATGTTATAATTAGAGAAGAAGTAATTTTTATACTGTCCACCAAATGCATTTTTCAATGATTACCTGTGGTTTGACTCTTCAGCTCAATGCACCAACAACATAAATGGCTCAAATTTTATTCAGGACAAAACGTTTTTTCATACGTTAAAATTATCCCTTGAAGTCCATGGTATCATTCATTACGAAAAGGTCAAAACTGAATACTTTGTTTTAAAACAATAGTATGGATATGCTTCTGTAGATCTAACCCGAATATACTTGCCAGGAAGGTTGAGTTTGGCACGAGCAAATGCATCTCTGTGATCTTTCATTAAAACATTGGTAAATATTTCCTCGGTCAAACTTTCTTTGTCACCTACTCCACATTGACGAAAAATAGCTTCTATAGCCTCTTCAATCTCATCACCCTCAGATCTGTACGAAGCCATTTCCAAGAAAGACCTGATTTGTGAAACGTCAATATATATAATTAGATTTTCATATAAATATATATATATATATGAAAGAGGTGATGCAGTGCACTATTGAAAATGTTCAATCACGTTATAAGAAGTAACTGCGGCGGAAATGATCTCAATTAAACAACAATTCATTTGCAAGTTATCACCATTGCGTTTCTGTCAAGGAGAATGAATATTTTACGAAACACTTCAGAAAAATATTAAACTCAGCAGTAGTGTTGTAAGTTTTCTAGGGTATAAGTTGTTTCTTTGTTATCTTTTGTGAGTTTTGTCTCGATTGTTAACCCACAACTGAGACGTTAAACCTCCCAAAAGCCCGGGTAGGATTTGTATACATATATACATTCTACATTGGCACCAAAATCAACTTGCAGGAAATTGGCAATGTAATTTTCTTTGAGTGTACTTTTCTTTTGATTTTTTCAGAAAATGTGATTAAACCTTTTTTTTATTATTATAAAAACTCATACTTGATCATCAGTCGTCCTTCATTTCGTGATATCTGGCCACTTTTGTCCACGTCGTACATATCAAACAACATTTTAGCCTTCTGTTCTGGGGTACCTGAAAAGTAATTTGAAGGTCAGTTATAATAATGCGTATACAATTTCGAACAAAGTATCAATAGGAATTGTATATACCATTCATGAGAATAACCATCAAATCCGCTACTTCACGCATTGATAAATATCCGCTTTTATCGGTGTCAGCCATCTCAAACATCTGTTTTACAAAGAGCGATCCTGATTTCATTCCAAGTGTCTCAGCAAACTCAGCTTCTGTTAATTCACAATCCGCAATATCTTCTCTCAAGTTCTTTTCAGTGCTTGCTAATTTGGGAATGGAATGACCTTTTTTTCGTGGACTCATTTGACTTATATTCAGAACCTAGAAAAATTGTTAAATTTCCCGTTTACACGGTTCCACATGTGAAATGCCGTTACCAACTTCCTCCGGATATAGCATTGATTTCGCTTTTAATAACCCGACCACCTTTTGAAAAAAAACACGCAAATTATCAAACGTGTAACAGGGTTTCTTTCTTGCAATAAAATAACAGCTAAATTTTGCTTTTCAACCTTCTATATATACCGTGTAAGTAAAACAAAGAAACGTACTTCACCGAACACTCTCCGGAAGAAATCGTCTAAAAGTTCTTGTCTAGTTTCCTTTGTGACAGCTTCTGCAAGTAATTCCTTTTCAGAAATTCCAAAACAAGATACGTTGACACCGGTTTGCGTTAAAAAACTTTGAACTATATTTCGCGCTGCGTCTCTGTAGAACATTCTTTAGTTGATTACACGTAAATTGCGATTTTTATGTGGATATATAATTAATTTATACCATAAGTGGGAATAAATACTTACTGTTTATACAGTTTCTGAAAGATGTCCAACTGTAACCGCTTAATCTCATACAGGAATTTTGGTACTCCCGTAGTATGTGTACCAGGTTAAGTCATAATTTTTTCCCGATTCTACTTATTTAAGTTCTATTACGAGTTCGGGACTGTCTGTGTTAGCCAAGTGAATGTACCCTGCCTATAGGTTTCAGTTCCTTTACACCACTCGAGGTAAAGAAGGCAAACAAGATTAGTTACCGTCATATTGGTACACATACTTCTGGAGCGCCGGATTTTTCAATATGAATATACTTTATCAAACTGCACTTGACTAAATGGACTTATGTTGTTCTTCATTAAGTGGGTTAAGTTAAAACCAAAGTCAACATTTTACCTTTCACTCTGCCCCGAGAATCTTATTACTACATCATATTCTTTGGGTACTCGAATAACCATCATTGTTTTCCCCTTATTTTGAGAGAGCAATAAGTGAGCTTTCTGTGATAAACAAATTCAATATCATTGCTCTGAATATTTCAAAACATGTTCAAATTATTTAAAACAATACTTACGTTAAATTTTTCCACGTTCAATCTTCTGAGAGTTGTGCCACACATATTCAATATTTTCATAACTTTCCCCTTCATAGTCACAACAATTGGCTTTGATTTGTTTTTTCCTTCAATTTCGAAACCTTTGTTAAAAATAATATATACGATCGAATGTGGTCTACTTCGTCGTTTCACTAAATGGACTCGTCCACTCATATTTTGAAATTAGACCAGCTCGAAACCAAATTATTTTGAATTTAAATTATTTTAGCGCTTATCGTGGCTTCAATAACGTTTCCGTATCAGTGTCCAATCAACAATAACTCAAGGATGACGTAACAATTTAAATTTGTGAAGCATCTTAGACACTTCATACGCTCAAGATAAATTTTTGAACAGGGTTGTAAAAATTGGCTGTTTGCACAGCTTTGTGTGCTATTTGTCGGTTTTTGATTGTGATCTCCAAAGTTGGGTATAGATTAAATAGTTTATTGGCCATTTGTCTTCCAAAGACTTTTAGTTTAGTTACAATAATCAACGAATTGCTTCGAAAAAGGTGTAATAGACTATCTTAAAAATATATATCAGTTTCAAAATGTGAGTGACATATGGGGAAATGACAGTTTCCGTCTTTTTCAGTTAATGAATGGTCGTGATCCTTATGCTTTAAGTGGACGCGACTGAATTTCATTTACCAGTAAACATGTTGTTATCCATGTTTTCATCAGTATTTCCCGTGCTGCAAAGTCGAGTAGATTGCTTTCGGATTTTTTTTCTTACGATTGTCTGCTCCTTCTTTTGCTCGCTCACATTTCGCTTTGCAATACCGCACATCACGATGTACGACACTTTTATATCAACATAGTTTAGTATTCAATTCAAATATATATATATATACGAGGCTTATCATCATTTAAATGTTTCGAAGATAAGGCCATTGGGATGTCATATAGACATCGATGATTCTTGCTAATGGAGCTGATTCAGTTGAGACTTTGGCCCTTTTTGGCCTGAGTACTCGTATTTCATATGCATACTGATGTAGCAATCGCTTTACAGGTATCGTCAATACTTTGCATGGCTTTGCACACAAAAACCAAGCCCTTTATTAGCACATTGTAATCGTGTTAATACTCACATATCGGTAAAAGAATCATAAGTATAATCGATCCTGCTAGCTTTCCCCAATACCCTTGAAAAAAGTTCATTCCTTTGTTTGCAGTGCAAGGTCGAGTAAAATTCGAACTCACGACAGTAATAGCAGGACACGGATTACCTGTAATATTGAAAATAGGCGTTGACGTCAAAGAGAAGCAATTTGAAAAAAGAGATACATATGGTTTTGTTAGGTATATTCAAGCAAAATTTACCTCTAGTGAAAAAAATATCTCGTTGAAGTTCGTCTGCTTCAATTGAAGTAGTGGCAATTATGACGTCGCGAAACGTGGTATTTCGAATTTCACTGATATTATTCCTTGAAAAATATCTAAAAACACAAACGTAACTTTACATAAATTCTTTTATATGATCATCTATATCCAATAAATATTGACGCATGTCAACAATAACCCTCATCTATCCTTAGCAATGCGTGAAAGTTTCTCCATCCACCTAATGTTTTTCTGAGTGCATGCATATCTGTATTGCGATACAGATCAACGCAGGATATTCGTATTTGGTTTATTTGAAAATAGAATCAACTTAGCAAATTACCATTTAGTTCGTGCACCATAGAATTAGACATTTAACTATCTGGTTCTACATGTACGTTGATCTGTGAAATTGATCTTTTCAAAGTTTCTTTGATATATATGTCTTGAATTGAAGTTAGCGGTGAACCACAGATTGTCGAAAGGAAATTCAGTGTTAGGTGGTTTGTGGAGCCGTGGCCATGGTATATGATAAATTGCGCATATATTGTAAACTGTCAGTAGCTCACCCTTCTTCCACGTTTTCGAACCAGTATCTATCGCTATTTCTTAATCGGACCATCTGCTCAATTATAATCCGACCAAAAAGCGAATCTGCTCCGTTGTTATTCGCTGCGGACTCCAAGATACCGCCAACATATACTTCCAAAAGATTGGTGTTATTTCGATATACTTCGGTGATACTTGCAAGGACCTTCATTGAAACAAGAGAGCAATGCTCAAATATATGGACGCAAAGACCAAAACAAAGTAGCATCAACTCTTCCACAGTACCGGTAGTCTGACCACCAGTTTGCTGAAATACGATTGCGGAACCGCCACACGCTGCGCAATTTTTAATTTTGATGACGCCATCAACCAAAGTTAAAAACGAATCCCATTGTTAAAATAAATGAAGCAATTGCCTTCTAGCGACAACAACAATCTTTAACCTTTGAAAGCAGTTGATTCAGTAGCGATAATAATAAAATCATACTTCGTCTCCAAAATCTAATTTCGAAACTTGTGAATAACATTTTTAAGTCTAATGGGCAACTATATTTCGATAGCATAGCATGCATGAATAGAAATGTGACAGTTCAAAATTCAGAAGATATTCCAATTGAGCACGAACAGGTTAAAGACCCTGAATGTACGATGATAATTCTAAGGTAAGCCCCCAAATATTTGTATGGCATCAAGTTCATATCTAAAGTCCAAATTTAAATTGATAACGTTTTATACGAGATAGCGATCAGAGACCGCCGACTTATCGTTCTAGCGGCGTGTATCCTTCGCTCTGGCTCATTAGCGACACCGCATGTCCCATCACTTATCAATATCGATAGGTAATACCCAATGTAGGACTTTCTTAAAAAATGTAATCGGCCCTGATATACGGAAAGCACATAACTTTACAAAGAGTATTGTGAGACACGAGTTAAGAAATGACGGTATCTGTATACCAAATCATAAACAGTTATATTACCAAATCCGGAACTCCAGTAAATTGTGAAAAACTCCTTATTTCAGAAAGTCCCAAACTTCGTCGCACATTGTTGTAACTTGCTAATCCCGCATCTCTACCTCGTTCAATGGTTAATGCAAGTAAATCCATTCTCGATCTCTTTAGAGGACCATATAGAAAATCTGACGAAGTAAACGTTTTGAATCATTGAAAGGACAATTTCTCCGGCACCTTGGATCAACGTTGAAAATGGCAAAATGTTTGAGGGCAGCTAAAACAGTTATGGGAATGCAAATTGTTTAGCTATAGTAATTTTATATTTAATTAACATACCTCTTAAATCGTCAACAATCATATGATCTGCCCTCTCCGCAGTTTGTGAAATCAGTCCTCGAATAATGTCATCAATACCATGTTTTGTAATTGCCCCCTGAAGCGATAAGATCATAGTAGGACATTGTCAAACGGAAAAGTTAATTATAGATACCTGGAAAAACTAAGTATTTTGGTTTCTGGGCAATGGGCATCATGAAACACTATACCACCGAGCCTAAAACATTTAGAGTTGTTTGGTATTCAAACAACCAGTTGTGATTCAATTGGCGTATTTGGGAAATATATATATTAAATAGGGGTGGTCAATATCGAACACAAATAATGGAAGTTACGCCGTAATTGCGCTACTCTTACGTGAAACTCACTTAGAGGCGCTTAATTGAGGATTCTAGAATTTTCCTTGTGTAAGATTGTATAAAAAATCTTGAAACGAACTGAAATGGTATCTTAAATGTGCCAATGATTTCCACAATATATATACCTCAAAGAATGTGGTGCGAGCCGGTCAAAAAATAGAAGCGCATACGATATGAATACAGACATAGTATTCAGCAGCTCGATTCATATTTCGTTCGGTATATTCAAAAGGTATATCGTCACGCTAATAACCGAATTGCGTAAGTCATTTTTAGCAGTTTTGAGAAAAACGTAAAAAAACTTCCTAATGATATTGTTATGCCATTGGGAGTCAATAATTTACCATGGTTCAATTTTTTGATCGTAGCCGGATTTAAGTTAATTTGTATGACGCAGCTAAGTGACGTCATAATGGCACACTGTGACTTAGGCAGAAATGTGTCTATGACTTGGGGACATACGCAATTTTGCAACTTTACTATATGCACCAGTCCTGAAAACTAAACATTCCAAAAACGAATGTAATTCTCATTATCTACAATGTCTAATCCCCAAAATAGCTAATCAGTTTCAATTACATTATTTTTTATGTTTAAAAATATATATTTCATCAATATAACACGTTCTGCACACCCACCGAAATGAGACTAAGATTAAATATAAAGAATAAAACAGCAATGCACCCAATATAAAAGTCAACCAAGGTGAATTTGGACTCGGACAGTAAATATCAAAAGTGCACGTCTTCCTATACTGTAGTATAAATTCAAATTAATACGCACTAAGCTAGAATCCGAGATGCAAAAACTCAAAAATACTAAGCCGAGGTTATTTTGCCTTTGTGACGTCACAATAGTACTACAGTAACAATGATAATTCATTATGACGAAACAATTGCAGAAATGTGCATGTCATACTAAATCTTCATTTTTATGGGTTTCAGAATTCTTAAAATAAAATCTGAGGTAACAGACAGGTGCGCAGCACTACATAAATACCTATTTTATAAAAAAACATCAAAATCGCCAAAAATGACTTACGCAATTCGGTTATTAGCGTGACGATATATACTTGTTGTTTATAACAGAAACATACTGCGAACTAACCTGCAGTTGCCAATATGTGTTACAAAGCCTCAGTGCCGGCTCCCCAGCGGACATCATGTATTCTGCCGGTAGTGGATTGACAACGCTGCAGTTTCGCCGCCTCAAGGACACTCCAGCAGGAATCATACTATGACCAATCCTCATTGCTGCGGCAGAAAACTCTGCTGTTATTGCCGGGTCAAGTAAAGAATTATATCCTGTAGAAATATTTTTTACGAATAAATAGATACTTTTCTTGAAAATGGGGCTCGGTGCGTTGTATTGGCTAAAATACAAATGTTTATCCAGCGGAGTACAACAAAAAAATTGATAAACATATAATATGGACAACAGGCCTAGCTATTGGAGGCGTTACCTTCGTATGCAGGAACAGTGAAGTTTTCCACTAGCGCTGGCAACATTTCGTACAGAGCTATGTTCTGATAAGTCGCAACAGTCCATCTTCTCGCGTTTTCGAATACCTTAAATACCAATATCATATTAGTAGTATTAATTAGATTTTTGGGGGCCGAAATGCAATAACTGTCATGAAGGTTTTACACCGTTGTTATGTATGAACGTACCTTTTCATCTGGCCATCCCGGATTCTCGCTTGCAAATCTTTGGGCAAGGAAGTTATGATAGCGAAACCAAATAATCCCGACTGCCATTAAAAATACGTTCTCATTTCCACGAGGGTTTCCGAAACCTAGAAATAAAAATAGAATCCGAATATTTCAAGAAACATGTGGCCGACCATGTAAGGATGCACGTGGGCTCGGGACTTTCACCTACATCCTGGGACGATGTTCGATAATCCCCAGTTTCTGATTTGTTCACATTGAATGATGTTGAATACTTTATAATGTGATATATATAAATTAAACGCGTTGTAGCTAAATTGGTGGCATCGGCGAAATGGACTCGTCGCTGCCATCATCCGCATGCCGAGGAGTTGCCTGCATTGAGTAAGTATCAACGTCATAGTTGAATTAGCTAAAATTAATAAATAAACAAAAAAATTACTCAGAAGCTCCGCAGGATTTCTTTTCATTGGATGTTGACTTCTATCTAATGTCGGATTGATTAAGGGAATTTTATTGTAATTAAATGTAGGAAATTCCGTCGTATTTCCTTGAGAATTCAACCTTCCTCTTCTGAATTCTCGCAGGTGCTCAGACCAGGATTGACTGGGGCCATATATGGTACTTCCATCCAACCAAGACGTGGCTTCATTTGCCTACAAAGGTATTATAATTTCAATTGAAAGCATAATTAATTTGTACTGTTCGATTGAAGCTAATGATAAACTCACCAAGTTTCTGGGTGAATTGACTGAAGATCCAGACTTTTTGTCAAACTTAGATCTGTAGACAGGCATAATTTTTTCATCATTGTTTGTAGTGTTTGGCACCCGAATGTTCAAGTATTCAGCTGGGCAAGCAACACGTCTGGTATCGACTATATCATCTACTATCATCTGAGCTGTGATGGAAATGCACAAGAATTTAACTATCAGTTCGGGTTAAGTGATAGACTAACTCTCTACTGTCTCTGAGTGCCTTTGCGCTGGTGGATCCGCACGCGTATAAAGCAAGAATACTATGGCAGAAATAAGATTACCATGTACTTTAATATGTAAAAACTGTCCACAACCAATTGAAGGTGGTGCATTGTGAATGAATATTCAGCGGCATGAAACTTTTTTTTTTCAGTCGCATACGCCAGAGGTTCTCAAACTTTTGGGGTTATGGAGCCCGTGAAGAGTTTGACTATTTTATTTAGGAGCCCCACAATAAATGTATAAAAATAAAAACCTTGTTATTCACCGATGAATGTTCCTGAGTAACTTAAAACTACTTTATTTAATGTCTCGGATGTATTTGCTGCTCATCAAAGTTTATTTACGAGGCACTGGCCATGCGGAGCACTTTTAAAACCTATGGCAAGGTTACCAGTACTGCAAGGATTCATTGGACATTCGTGGGTATATATTTAAACATTGTTCTACAATTTTGACTGAAAAGCGATTTATATCGTATGCTATTTTGCCATCCTTCTTCTTACGACTCAATGAGTGTATTGTGACAAACGCGGATAAAAAGAAAGGTCAAGACGAATAGAGGAGACCTACCAAAAAACGGTAACATGACAGATTGTCGGCTTGTTGAGAGAACGCCATCTTCTACGCTTCGAAAAGCGTCACTTATTCTTCTCGAATTCGGAACATTCGATTGTGTTCCAAAAATATTGTCTTCGTTTGCAATGCGGAAAATAGCAGTACCTGAGAGGTAGAAGAGATTGTACAAGTGTTATGAAAAAAAACGGTAAAATTGCGTAAAACAATATGTTAGTACACCAATAAATGCAATTTGCGCTTGGTTGTTTGTTCAAATTAAATATATTTACCTGGAGTGCCCCATTCAGTGTGAAAAAGGTTATTATACCAGCCATCAAATCTTGAAAAATGATTCTTCCCATCGCTGCCAAATGTAACTGATGGATGATAGAATAGATCAAATATTACAGTGTCTGTTATATTCGGGTCATAATAGTTAAAGAGATACAACAATAAAAAATTCACAAATATTTCAAAACATATCTAATTTGTGCACCAATGAACCAATTAAGCCAACATCGGGTAGGGTTTTAATTTCTGAAATATTTACCAAGCTCGCTTCATTCGTAGGAGTTGTATAAATGGATAAACAAAATGACACCGATGACTATATACTATGAATTGGTAATATAAGAACTATGATTATATGTACTATGCATTGATTGTTGAACGAGCTTTTTTGGACCGAAAATTAAAACTATCAAAATTTCTTTTGTGACAGATATAATAACAATGTAACATCTTTAGGCCATGCCAGAATGATTTAACAGTAAAGTTTAATAACAATGTAACACCTCTAGGTCATGCCACAATAATTGGACAGGAGTACTTTATACCATTATATTTTAAAAAGTTCAAACAGAATTGAATATGTTATGAACTTACCAGGAGCGATAGCGAGCAATAGGAATATTCTGTAAAACATATTCACCCTTTCTGCAGATGGAAAACTTCTTCTCAATAACAGGTGATTTTCTACTTAGTTAGCATATACTCCATTTCTCAACAGTTAATATATTAAACTGCAATAAATGTAATCAAACGTATAAAAGTATAGGTCGATCTTGACTAAAATCTATGTGAGTATACATATGCTGAGAGTTTTACATCAAATAAAAAAGTTCTGGCTGCAAACAAATTTTCTACATGTTTGGTGTTTGAATGTTGAGAAAATAGCATTGTCGAACACAAAAACGTAGTGTTATCTAAGTAGATACAAACTTAAAATACCTCGTGCCCTAGAATTTCCGTTTATCTCAGTTTAATATTCACCCTTCAAAAAGTAAGAATAAGTAACTCTCTTGCTGTCTTCACAGCACCTGCACTGTGTATTAACCAATTCATTATGGTGCAGCCAAAGTCGTTTTCCCTAGTCACTTTTCCGCCTGGGGTATTTTAGCGTTTAGAAGTTGTTTTATACTGCGCAGAAGTTTGTTATGGCGGATTCACAAATAATGAAAAATGTTGATTTGATAAGCAGGGTGGTAAGAACCAAATTTCAAAAATAACATGACACTAAATAGAACGGAAATGTATTCATAGAAATTAGATTGGTACCAGAATAGATAGATAATAGAAAGGTAGAAACGATACAAATATGTTTGCCTTGTTTTTAAATACTCCAAATTCGTTAAGAAAGTGAGATTAATAATACATGGCAAAATATCATAATATTTTGAGATAGCTATGATTGTGTGACGGTATCTTTTACGTTTTTGAAGGCAGAACATTCATGAGGAAAATCAAAATACCTGTTAACAGTTTAATTTTATCAAGAAGATTTTTGATTTCGCTGATCTATCTCTGATTTTATGAACTGAGCGAATGCTGTTATTCAAAAGAAAATGGGCTGTCATTTTTTTACCTAATTCTTGAGCAAATCGGAAGTCATAGAAAACGACCATTTACAGACGATCATACAACCAGACATGTTAGATATATGTTTGTTGGGTATATTCATTTATTCATTCAGCAATTAGCAACAGACTAATTAAATAAACTATCTAATGATTCTCAGCGTTGTTCACAAGCGGGACACTAATTGGTGTGCAGTCAATTTTATTAATTACCCTTCTTAGTTAATAAATTAAATCATAAACAGAAATCGGAATTAAGGTACGATGAAAAAATAACCCCACGTTAATTGGTGCGTCAGCAACTTATATGTATAACGAGTGCTGAACTACTTCTTTTTACCTGTTTCACCGAGAAACTAAGCGTTAGGTGTAGCCTATCCATCTTCATAGCTATAACATAAATATCATAAAATACGATTACGATAATAATATCCCCTTGTCTACAATTCTATTGTGCACTTTTAGCAGTGGCGACAACCATTGTAATCTTAACGATTTAAACGCAATCTGAATCTACGAGTATTCGTTCCTTCAGCCTAATTACTGCAACATTCCATCAAATTCTGAAATGTTTACCACAATCCTGCGCAATTTGTGATCTGAATTATCCTTAATATCGTATCAATTTGCCCTCAATAATTCTTGAACACCGAAAATCGCTAGCAACTAATAAAATTTCATTAGGAAGCCACGATAGTAAATTTCCCAAATCCCTGCAGCCAGTTTCTTGAAATAAAATAATATCGCTCGGTTCCGTTGGTAAAGTTTTGACAAGAATCTTTACCCGAAGACGATCAGCCCAACTGTCTACTTTTCACTGAAAATACTTATGCCGGGTCAGATATCATACCCAATGGCTAAGGGTATTCAATTGCATATAGAGTTAGGGTCACCATATTTTTGTGATCTTAAAGCGGGACGTCTCCAAAGACCATATCTGTGATTTTTGCACCTTTAAATTTTATATTGGGGCCCTACATTTAAAACCATCCCAAACGTCTTCATTGACCATACTGTAATCAAAAGTTCATGCGCTATCTGTCTAAATATCGGTTTCAGTTCGAAAAACAGAATTAAATTTACGTTAACGTTAAGCATCCTTTTGGCGTACGGGGCGCACACGATAACAAAATGTAGCAATTATCCGCTAACAAAACAACGAAACAAACAAAACCACGCACGAATCGTCAGTAAAAAACGGTACGCTACACAGCAACAACAGTTTCAAGAACACTCTAACTGTTATTGTTCGTGTATTATGCTGACTGGTTGAACGCCAAAGCGGGACATTTGTCTGACCTGTCGGGACACCGGGACAAGACGTTGAAAAGCGGGACTGTCCCGCCTAAAGCGGACGTATGGTGAGCCTATATAGAGTGATACCACGATATCGAATGCATTCGTAACTACTACTATGTCTCTGTATGAATAATGGCTGTACTTACTAAATTTCTAAAAATTTGACTTTCTCGCTGCTTATTACGGAACATACCAAGAAATAAAGAATGCTCGTTAACAATTACCTAAAACGATGTGAACTTAAGGTACCAACCTAACTATTTGGAATCTTGTAGTGCTACTTAGACTGCATATTCTAGATATTTCGGTGATTTTAAATCAAAATCATACGTGTGACGTTAAGCAATGAAATCTATCATAATAACACTTGTCAAAATGGATATTTGTTGTGCCTGGTCAAGTGGGTGAACTAAAAGTGTTTGTTTTCTCTATCGCTCGCACTGACCTAAAAGTGTTATCACAACATTATTTTATCTTGTGGCGAAATAATCATCGAGTTTTCTAATTGTGAGGCAATGAAAAGAGTAATTGCGCTTTTAACGGTAGACAAATGTTGTACTTACTAAGTACAGACGTATTATCATTACACGATGACGATACTCTGTGATTGACGGACTGAGCGTGTTCAAGTATATATTTCAATTTCAAGTTTTACTTTTGATTAATCAGAGTAGCTCTGACAACAATCTACACGCAATCACGATGATAATCCGTTTATTACAGCGCGTGAACATATTTATCATGTAATGTTGATAGTGTCATTTACGATAAAATTTCTTGCCGAATGGTCTGTTCCGTTGAGAGATTTTCACTAAATCTACAGAACCCGGTGCCAGCGAGCCGTTCATTTTGCTTGTGATTATAATCAAGTACAGGAGCACGGGTAATTGCATTTTTTATCTTTTATATTCTTCACTGTCGACAAATGTCAAAGAACTCGCTTTCGTCCTTTCGCCAACACTAAACAGTTTTCATAGCGTATGCGTTATTTTATATATATGCGATTTATTACAATGTGTAACAAAGAATGTTTCCTAACTTAGGACAATGGATAATTAGCAAATGAAACGCAGCCATGCAAGCAGGTGCTCTACTAATGTTAATTAGATATCAAATCCTTTCGATTTCTGACATTTTTGTCATTTCACTTTCGGTGCCTTCATTTAATAATCTCGGATATTTGATGCCGACTCCGCTGTCTGATCTATTATGTAAAGTACCATGTTGTTTTTAGTAATGGTAGATTGTTGTGTACTTATAGAAGAGTCGAGTACACAAGTTATGATAAATAAGTGTTTGACAAAAGTTCTATGAGGAACATAAATGTGATTATAAGCTACCTCAAACGTCAGTTCCAGATACAAAATGGACAACGAGAACTAGTTTGCATATTTGACTCCTGAATCGCGTGCTACAGTTATTAGATATTGGTGTATATTGTATTTCTCGCAACATTACCATTGTCCGAAAGTTCAAGTGTCATATCGTCAGTAACGTGTCGTAAATTTTGCTACATTACATACGTTATAGCATTATGGAATAACAGCATAGCGAAAGGTTTTTTTGGTAAAAATTACGACAGTTAATAGGCGTTGGTGGTATTATTGAACTGTGCGATCGTATCAAAATACAGACGTCTTTCATTGTATTTTATCCAGCATCACCGAATGAATTTGATAAAAAGAGTTAACAAATATTTATGCAGGTATAAGAAAGAGTATTTTTCTAGCTAGGCGTCCTCTATTTGGTGATTCATCCTTGTTTGCAGCTGTAATCAATTTGATGTCCATCAATCGATTCGTTTTAACTAATAGCAGGTGGACAATAAAAGTGATTTAATTGCGATGTTATATTCATAGGATTTATGGTCCTATGCTCTGCCAAATTGATTGATAGAACCAACCATCACACCCCGCAACACAAACGTTTGACTCTGTATATTAAAAAGCCGCTCTGTCTGTCGTGAAGGACAAAAGTTATAATTTGATTGGGTTTCTGTGGGACTGACTACTTATCCTTCTTCTATACTTTTGTGTCGGCGGATCTGTATGCACATTATACAAGGATATATATCTATAAAGTTTCATCCGGCCAAGGTCAGACTTCCTCAGACATGCACAATCCAACTAGAATAGTTATCTAATTTGGGGTTAGAAGCAACCCAAACTATTTTCCTGTGATGCTTTCAACTAATAAATATTTTTTGAATTTCAAATGACGCCTGATTCGTAACTCTTTATTTAAGTCGATTTCCTCCGAAGTTTGGTTCCAATTTTATGTTTATATATTTACCTTCTTACTTATCTTTACTCAGAGTATACATCTTAAATTCCTTCCTTTTGGTGTCCACAAATATCCAAACACTTGAATTGAACACAAATGAATTGAACTGACTCGCTTTTATCCTTATTAAAGCAAGATGACTCCACGAAGCTAATTCAGCAGCTACTTCTGAAGTATAGTTCAACTACTTCGAAGGCAAAACGTGAACCATTAGAATTCGAATTGGTAGAATTCCTATTTTTCAAATGCATGTTATATTGCACTATGGCGTGACAAAAAATTACATAACTGCCCAAGTTTAGTAAACACAACATGTAGTACGCATTCAAATCATGTAAATTGCGATATCTATTACAGCAATGAGCGGATATGATTACACATTTAACTCGCGGTACATCATTAGCTACATGTATCAACCAAAATCAAAGTCTAACCTGAATAAAATTTAGCTAAATCTCAAAGGTTAACAAAAAAACATTAACTGATATAACACTGTTCCGACAATGTTTTTAATGAGACGAAACTATTTGTAAACAATCTATCTCTATTTGCCGTATCAACTTTGATGTATCAACTTATCACGTCGAAATCGAACTTAGGATTCCGGAGATATAAAATTGTACTCAGGAAGCCCGATGAGTAATTTTTTACTATAATAATGGACTTGCTGGCAGATAAATATGAGTGATTTAGAAATCACGATAGATGCAAAGATAGATGCAAAGATATTTTTATCAACTTGATATGCTGTTAATTTATTATATGTAAGGCTCATGTAGTATTGTATGTTTGTCATTATTATTTTTCATTATCTTTCAATATCAGTACTGATTTTTATTGTATATATTTTTTCTAAGGCTTGTTCAAATGTAATTTTAAAATATTTGGACTGTAACAGCATGACCTTGAGCGATGGTTGGCCGCCATTTTATGCAGAAAGGAAAACATCTGCCGGGGTAGATGTCAACCAATTGTATGTGGCGTTTGTAGCTTCAGCCCTGACGTTTGCTCTGCTGCTTATATTACCTGGAGTCCGGGGACTCGAGGTGAGATTTTATAAGATATTTTGCTATATCGCGTATAAGGCAACGCAAAAATGCACGATGCGCCAATAATATTAAAATAAATATTTTAAATATATATATATTTTGTAATTACCTAAACAGTTTATACATTCAGACTCTGTCTTTTGGAAATTATATTTCATTTTTATTCGGTTGAAACTAATGTTGGCAAAGCCCTGAAAAGACGTGGGATTTCATTATCACAAAAATATGTTTAACATGTGATATCTTTTTCAGAGGTCGTATTTTCTCTTAAGATGGTCAGTGACACTTTTGGTCGGTGCTCTTATTATAGGTAAGTGCAATATAACACTCAGACATGTTTTGATCTCACTATATATCTCTATAATCAAGGTTATTAGCTTAATATTTTCATAAAAAGAGAAATATTTTTAATGAGTGCTGGTAACCGCGATGTCCATATCTGAATAACGTGATCTATTTTTTGAAGTAACATTTTAGTTATTTAGATTTATTCTTCTAATTACTCAATAAAAGCAGTTCCGAGGGTTTAAATTATTTCATAATTAAGAATTAACTACTACACTGAGTAAATTTTAAGTTTGGATCTTTTATAATTTCTTCGACAAGCAGATAAGATATACAGTATCAAAATTGTATGCAAAGTTTGAACAAATTGCACAAAACGGCGCATGTTTACTAAACGACGTGAGAAATTCTATTTGGCGTGGCACGACCATTTTTGCATATGTTATTCCTAACCCTCACCTGGCTCAGTCATGCAAATATTACGTCACTACGACCTCACATTCACGTCAAACAGCTTGTCAGAGTATAGCTGCGGTCGCCCGAAATGGCATCTTCGCCGACGATATCGAACTCAATAACCCCAGCGATCTCTCTCATATTAGGATCGTTACGACGAGAAAACGAGCGAAAAAGCATGCTCGATTTCGGGTGATCGTCTGCGCGTCTTGGATGACAGTTAGTATAGTTTGGGTGGCCTTATTACGTTATTGTGACATAATTTTTGGACAACGTGGTCAGGTAGGGATTGGGAATACCATATTCAAAAATGGTTTTGCCACGACGACTAGAAATACTTAGGTCGTGTTGTGAACATGGCCCCACAAATCAATACGAACAGTGTACTAATGACTGTTCTCAATTTGACAAAAGTTCAGAATAATTTAATTTCTAGCGTGCGGGCAAGGAATATCATGGCAAGTTGCAGAAATTAATGCGGATTTCCGACATAAAGTCAACGAAGAAAACATCACAAATTTTAGATTAGGAGTAATGATTGGATTGAACAAGTTTAATGTTACTCTGGAAGGTACTTTGATGTATGGAAAAAGATTCCGTGTGTTCAGCACGTGTTTATTGAGACAAAAACTAAAATATAACTATGTTACAGGAATGTAAATGCATGAAAAAATATTTTCATTCTTAAATGCAATTTGCATCCGTGGGGAATAAGACTATATTCATAGAATCATGAATATCGTGAATGTGGGCCACTAGACTTTATGATAATTCACTACCATGTTTTTTGATTTTAAACATTTGTACATGTTATGGGAATAGAACTTGCTCTGCTGCACCATCAATCGCAGTTTCCAAAACGATAATTATTTTTACTTTATGAACAAGCGATTATGGTTTAAACTAGGAAAAGCGTTATTTTTAATTATAAATTGGTATACTTCATTATTCCGAATAGATTACTCTGGACCGTTATTTCCATATTCTATTTCATTGATCTTCATTTTCCAGGGTTGAGAGAAAAAAACATAAATTTGAATGAACAATTCACATTTCTTACCGTAGACGATACTATATTTGATTCGTTACAACGCGGTTTACCTTTCCCGATTCTCACGGTAGCAGAACATTTTTCAAGTGTAAGATTTCACTCACTTTGGCCATGGGGTAGGAAATACTGGATGGCAGGACATTACGCGTCGTACTTATTGTGGTAAGAATATTTGTTGAGTTGTAATGCCAAGTAACAATCAATTTACTTTTTAAAAAAAATGATAGGCAGTCTTTTACTTATGTCTTATATTTGGTTGAGTTATAATTGAAAGCGGAAAATATAATCATATTTGCAATTTACAGATGTATCATAGTCATAGAACATATAAAATCATTACATAGATAAAAGAGCGTGATTTACCTCAAAACTATGTTAGACCAGAATAAAAAAAAATGTATGAGTATATTAGTATATATCAGTATTTAATGTTTTGACTATCGATATCCAGGACAGCTCTGGCATGTTGGGGACTCACCAATGTATTGTTTCATATGGCACTACAACATGGTAGTGTGTTCATGATCTTGACTGGTATTCTTCTCCTGTGCACGAATATCTCTTTCGCAACGGTAAATGCTGGCGAACAACTTGTGATTACACTTGGATACAAAGATCCTTCAGATAGGCTGATACTCGCCTTCGGATGGTGTTTTTGGTCATGCCTTTTTGTAGGTAAGTACTTCGGTCAATAACGTTACCACATCATTATTAATTAACTATTAATTATATTACTTTTGGGGTACTCCCGTAGTGTGTGTACCAGGTTAGGGTCAGGCCATAATTTTTTTTTCATTTTTCTTGTTTTAGTTCTATTACGAGTTCGGGAACTGTCTGTGTTAGCCAAGTGAATATGACCCCTGTTCATAGGCTTCCTTCCCTTTACACAACTTGATGTAAAGTAGGCGAACAAAATTAGTTACCTCCATACTGGTACACATACTTCTGGAGCGCCAATTTTTGTGACTCATTTTCGGTACTCAAAAAGAGTTATATGAAGATTGATTTTTTGAATATCGTAATTAGTATAATAGTTAAACGGGCATAAACAAGATATCTTATTGATGTGGAATGATTTTGGCCAATAGGCGGGAATTTCTTACCTATTTGGTCGGTCTATGTTCCGTTTTGCAGGTTTTTCATGTGTTGTGCTGGGTACTATTGCTTATATATTGGAAAAAGTGAATAAGTCATACTTGGAGAAATTTTTCATGCTCAGAGACAACCAAGACAAGCAAGAAGACGGTTAGTCATTCTTTTATACTTCAATGAAAATATAATTTCGATTAGGATCAATTGTTTAAGTATAATATTGAAAAAACGTTTTTGTTTCATTATTTCATAAAACATTTATCGTAATAATAAGCTGTTTGCATCTAGATGATATCGAACTTGACTACAATATTTCGAAATCAAGTGAACCTTCGACTCCAATTCGTGGAATTTTAAAATCTTCAAGTTCAAGTGGAGAAGTCAATCCAAGTTTTGTTATGGAAACTATTGACGAAAGTACGAGTCGGAAAAGGAGCACAGTGACTATCTCTGATAGCGCAGATGAAGTCTTTGCCGGCAAAGACAGTAAACGTTTTAAATTCAAAAAAGTAGAAGAGGTGCTTTAAGATATTTAAAGCCGAACTGTTTATTTACTAAACATTGTGTCCGTTCGGTTTTGCTAATACTGCTAACGCTCGTTATTTGCTGTACTTTTGGTTCACATAATTCTCTGTTTATGAATGATACCACAAAATTTTCCCGTTTATATTGAAGATTTCTGGAGAAATTTTTGTCATTTATCTCATGTCATCTCATCACGAATGCGTATGTTTGAAAGTAGTGTTGAGTGTGTGGAAACCAATTTTATCTGTGTTTAAGTATGTTGTCATGTATAACTCCCCTCCACCATTGAAAGAACTTGTTAGAATAGTTCCATTTACCTTTCACGTTTTACCTTTTTTTCGCGAATTTTTGGCTAATAACAAAATCCATTCCAATTGTACCCAAACTTTTTACATGACACTGAAAAGTATCAAAAACCGCCTACAAATGGTGACGGGCAATAACACAAAGAAAAAAAAAATTGGCAAAAATAATATTTGAGCGCTCACAATTTCTTCCTGTCTTTAGGACAACAAATTCATATTCATATATAGTTGCAGTTTATTCTTTTTGCATTATCGCAGAGATCATATTGCATCAATCTAACTTTAAATTACATGTCCAGACGTTCGAAAATCGAAAGTATATCATCAAGTTAATTTGCAATGAATTAGAAACCTTTTGTTATAGAGTAGATAAGAACTCCATTCTTCTGTAATATTTTATTTCAAATTCATTTCAATCATTAAAATTGGTTTATTCGTTTCTTATGTGAAAAATTCCTAATTCTTGTTAGACAATATTGATTTTTGCTACATTATGAAATGTCATATCCAAAATGGCCGATACCTAATGTAACAAAACTCTATGACGGTAAATATTCGATTCTACAAATCCAATATACTTGTCTTTAGCTATCGCCTATGTGCATATCACTTTTTGATGTAATGCAATATGCATATAATGCATTGTAAATGTTCTAAAATTATAAAAATCATAATCATAAGTTTGATTTTAATGTATATCTAGAACCGTCATATTGGAAACTTTTGATATCAGGCTTATTGGGAAGATACTAGTCGTTGAATGCAGAACGAATCGTGAAGTTTCATAGTTAGCTAAGATGTTGGGGATAGCAAACGAAGTTGATGGGTTGCATGATCATTAGCATTTTAGAACTAAAAAATAATTGAATAATATGGTTTTCAATGTTCGTGATTAGATTCACCACATTCTTTTAAGTCAAGGTTTGCACTCGATGATCAATTCAAGACTATCATACTATCAGACACGATTCGTTTAAATCCTTTCAGGGTTGAAATAGTTATGAATTGGTTTATAAAAGTTGCAAACACTTAACAAATTTAAAGATTTTATTTTAGGATAAAGTATTCAGTATATTAGCTTTGGATTAGTATACTATGGACCTAAGTAATATCCAATTGAGATATTATTAACGAGTTTCGCAGCAATGTCGGCTAGCGCGATTGTTATTTAGCACTTTCTGGGCGTCAGCTGCAACCAGCAATTCACGCCATGAATCTTGTCTCGAGCATGAACAGTTTTATACCTATATATAGAACAGAGCGTCGACAATGATTCTATTTTATCGCATTCTTTACTCATGTCGTGTGTAGATAGAAAACATTCTTTATAGATAGTTTCCAGACTTCTGCACGAGAGAGGGAGACAGTGGCGGGATGATTATTAGTTATTCAGTATGCAAAACGTACTTGCTTGTCATATAACATCCGTTTTCGAGTCGTAGATGATGCGTTCCAACAATGTACGCTCTGACCATGGTTTTTGATTGACATGAAACAGGGTTTAACCAGAAGTGAGATGTATATGTTCTGAAGCATTTCAGGAAGGCGAAGTTGCAGAGAAAGATCAGAAACATTGGCGTCATCGCAATTCATGGTTCCGTCGCGGACTCAATAAATTAATTAAGATATATTTAAAATTTATTTCAACACAAACTTCAAATTTCTACGTAAGTTGGAAATGAAAATAAATGAATAAAATCGCCAGGCTCAGTTTCGTCTCAGTTTTCCAACTGGATTTTATTCCATGCTAGCAAGCTTATTTAAGAAGATTTATATTTATTGAATCAACAGATTCCTATTATATTTTAATCGTTGACTGAAAACCAAAAATGCCTGCTGCACCAGGAACAGGTAAGCTTTATGTATTTCATATCATTTTCTAATTTTACAAATTTCTATTCTATTGCTCGTTCTATTAAGTTGTTAATTAATACATGCTATAAAATTGCCTCTGCCCTTTCCTCTTTCTATAACTGCTACGATGTGGCTAAATCTTATCTAAGATGATAATAGATTTTTTTCAACCTTCCTTTATGACAGTTGTAAGTAGTTCGTTTATCAACAAAACAATTCAAAGATCTACCAAATTCTGAGATTGCAAAACATCCTATTTAGCACAAAACCAATTTTTAGACGTTGGAGTATAGAATTTAATATCAATTTTTTGAGTAGGTTAATAGCAGTCTTGCCTGGCCAAAATAAAGCCACTCCAATGTATTTTTGACAAAATTAATTTAGGAATACATCAATGTATCATTAAAACAAAAAATACAGAAAACGCTCTTCACAATCGTTTATATATTTCATTTTAGAGCCTAAAAAGATAGTCAAGAAGAAGGTCGTCAAAAAAGTTGTCAAGAAGAAGAAGGAAGACCCAAAAGCCGAAGAAACTAAACCCGCGGAAACAAAAAATAAAACAGAGAAAAAAGAAAAGGATATTCCAAAAGAAAATTCACCAAAAGAGGAACCTGTTGCTCCACCTCCAACTGAACCAGCTGCTGCTGTGGAACCAGCCACTCCCAGTAAATATTTATTTTTATTTTTATTATCGTTAGTAATAAGTACAGTTGAAAAGAATATTCAAATTTTTTGTTTGAATTTTACAAATGCTCTACGTACGTTTATTGAACAAATCTATATGTTTATCTAACATGTTTTAGAAAAATAACACAAACTATAACATATTTTGTAAAACATAATTTTTCAATTTTAAAAAATGAACATTGTCGTGAGGTAAATTGTCTTTATCATTTGTTATAGCGTTCTTCTAGCGTTTATGGTGATTTTTAAGTAATATGACTGTTGACCTGTTATTAAAATTTGTCTCAAAATGGTAATACTTAACATAAGAATCGCAGTTTTGAATTACCCACCTCTACTTGCATATAATGAGATAATATCTAATTTGGATTTATTGTAACGTTCGCGATTCCATTTTTGTGGACCCTATTCAAACATTATTTCATTTTCAATTTTCAGGAGAAGAAGTTATTGCTGAGAAGCCGAAAGATGTAGAAACGACAGAAGGTAATACTTGGTTAATGGAAAATTTAATGAAACAGTTTCATCAATGTCTAAGCGCATAGTATTATGCTAATTTATATGAAAAATGCATTTGTTCTATGGCAATTAGAATTATATTGAATACGAGATAAGGTGAAATAATTTTGCTATTAATCTGATTTCAAAACAGTTCTTATCTACAAAATGTCATCGTCGCGAAGCACATTATATCCGTGGTTATAATAACCTAGATATATGATATCCATGTGCTTTGTATTAATAATCGTTTAACACATAATAGTTTGTAACACATTCATACGCATTGTTCATTTGGTGTTAATTTTCATCATTTGGGCGACGAAAGGTCGAGAAGTGACAGTTCGCGCCAAAATCGTTGGCGGTGACGTCATACACAAGATTAAAGTTACCTGGATAAAGGGAAAATGGAACACTCTGTCAAAGGGAGACAGACTCGATATATTTGAGAACGAGAGAACTGGTGAACAGTTTTTGAAATTCAAAATGCCAAAACAGAGTGATACTGGCAACTACAGACTTAAAGTGTCTGGTCAGGCTGGCGACGAAGAATGCTCTTTCAATGTATTTGTTGGTCGTGAGTCAGCACTAAAACAGACAACTTGCACTAACTAATTATAATTCAGCAGCAATCAAATTACTAGTGGTTCAAATTGAATAATTTTCTATCCGCATTTTGTTACACAATCAATCTCTCTCCAAGGTCCTCACTCTCAAACAAACATCGCTTATTTCGCACTGAAAACAAATATTTACGTATCTTGGCGCAAAAAACTTTGTTGCTTTAACAAACGTTAACACTGCGACCAGTTAATGTCGTATGCACAATGAGTACATATATGAGTTTATTCTGCTCTGCTATACATATTATAACTGAGTAAGAACTGCAAAAATATTGGAATGTTTGATAGCTAAACGCTTTTGAACGCCTTATGCGCATTTATAGCCAGCACAGTACTACTTACTCACACCATTAGAATGCAACAAATGCAACAGAATCGTAATTTACAAACCATTTTTGGTTTACGTTATTTCAGTGTTTTCTATCATCAGTGTCATTGTTTGACTAAAAACCTGCTTTATTTTTTACCACCCTAGAACATGATTTGTATATTTTATTCTACTCATTAAAACTCACGCACACGCTATATCTACTGATCCACAGTACCGTTATATTTGTCTTTATGAAAATTTTTCAATCATAAAATTCTTAATATTTCAGCTCCAGTCGTGGAAGAAAAGAAAATTGAAATCAAAAAGGGATATGTACCGTGAGTGATTATAATATCAGATTTGTATCTATCATTTGACATGAGTTTTAATAATACTATAAATAGTTAAATCTTCAACTAATTATTGATTACTTATGCATTCAGGGATGAAAAAGAATTGGAGAAAGATGTTGATTTTCGCAACAGACTGAAGAAAGTGTAAGTAATAAATATGATATTTCAGTAATTCAAAATTAATAGCAATGAAAATAGAATGAAATACCTCTTAGAGTCGATTTTACCACCCTCGTCTACTTTTCTTATTTATACAAATCTTTGTTAAAAGTAAACATTGATTTCACGTGATTTTATAGAGAGAAATACAGAAAAGAGGAAGAATCTGGTGAATGGGACGTATGGTCTCTTTTGAAAAGTGCGTCATCTCGTGAATACGAAGCAATTGCTTTCAAGTTTGGAATTGTTGACATGAGAGCGATGTTGAGAAGATTGTCAAATACGAAGAAACGAGAAACGCAGAAAGCAACTTGTACGTACAGAAATATAAGTCCTGTCCATCTCATATCTAATTTCGATATCATATGATCAATAACTTAGTATATATATGTATATTTTGGAATGAGATTACAAAATTAGGAAATACATTAGCAAAATTATGATAAATTATTATATGGCCATTTGAATTAAATATTTGAAATATTGAAATACGAATTTGGTATTAAAATAGGATCTAAGACATATATAAATAGATTATTCAAGCTGTTGAGCTGATGAAGTGAATTTATTTTATAGCATTTTCCAAGAAATTGCCAGAAACCATTGCGTGCACCATTGGAGAAAAAGTTGTGCTTGAGGCAGAAGTTGCAAATGAGCAGATGACAGTAAAATGGCAGAAAAATGGAGAAAATATTGAAGCAAGCAAACATTTTCAGATAATGACTAAAGGTGGGTTTTTGTGGGATGTCCAAAATTCATTAAAATCATCGAAAACGTTTGCTGCCATATTGATCAATGTCTAAATAATATTTTTCAGAAAACAAACGAACTTTGATCATCGACCAAACTGTCTTGTCAGACGATTCTGCATATTCTTGCGTTGTAGGAAAGGACGTCACAACATGTGAACTATTTGTTCGAGGTATTTTGCTCTATTCACAAAATTTTCCTTCTTTGTAGAAAGGAAAATATAAGAGAAAATATCACAGTTATTATTAAAGTTGTTAAGTTTTTAATAGTTAGTAATTGTGTGAAAATCGCAAGTAAAATGAATTTTGACTTTACAGAACACCCTGTAACTATCACGAAAGGACTTGAAGATATTCAAGTCAAAGAGGGTGAAGATGCTGAATTCAATTGTGAAGTGAGTTGATTGTTACAATTTTGCCATATTCTCTATATTTTAATTTTAAAAAAGTTTTGGGATGTACCATTCCGACGCAAATTCATTTTAAAATATGATAATTTGAATTATCTACTCGTCTTAATTATCTCGTTATCAATCTTTGCATGTGAATTTTCAGTTGTTTACGATATAAATATATCTGTTTCGTTAAGGTTACATATCATAATTTTATTTTTCTTTTGCCAGCTATCCAACGAAAATGGAAAATTCAGAATTCTGAAAGACGGATCTCAAATAGAACAAGGAGAGAAATACAACATCAAGAAAGAAGGAGTCAAAGTTACTTTTAACGTTAAAAAGGTACTTATTATTTCTACTTCAATATACAACATAACTTTTTAATATATATTCAAGAATATAAATGAATTCACATTTATTTTTAGATTTCAACTGATGATGAAGGTTTTTATCAAATTGTTACCAACGGTGCTCAATCTTGTGCAGAAATCGTCGTCCAAGAAACTTCTCAAATCACCCAATCTTTTTCTGACTTGAAGGTATCTAGAATCCAGGACATATACTAGGGGCTAAAATTGAATGAGCTAGAATTGGCGGAATGGCAGCTAATTTACAAAGACAAAATAAAATAGATCAATATTTTTAGTTTTTCAAAATCACTATGAATAATTATCTTGGACCCATGAATTTCATATTTTTAATCGTAGTTGCATTTTTCAGGTTAACTTCAAAGATACTGCTGAATTTGCTTGTCAAGTATCAGATGAAGCTGTGAAAGGACAGTGGTTAAAAGATGGCAAACCAATTGTTGCTGATGATAGAATCAAGATCATTGAGGTAAGAATGTTTTAACACTTATTAAATACTTTTACGATTAGAACATTTACTCATTTAAACATTCAAATTTATTCCTACGAGTGGAGTTAAATGAATATTGTTATATTGAATAGGACAAAAAATCACGCATACTCACAATTTCAAAAGTAAATGACAATGATCAAGGAGAATATTCCTTTGCAACGGAAGGATCTGTAACTAGTTCTATAACTGCTGCATTGGAATTGACAGGCGGACATATCGTAGTCGAGAAAAAGAAAGGTACGTATTCAAACCATTTTTTAAATAAAATTTGATTATACTAGGTGCTATTATTATTATCAACATGCCGATTTGCTTTGGCTAATTGTTATTCTAGTTAGCATTTGGAGCAGAGCATTTGGTACTTTTCATATATATATATAAATGTTTCATTTCTTCTCAGTACCACCAAAAATTTTTCTTGACAATTCTCAAAAAGACCGAGCCATTATTGTCCGAGCAGGAAATAAAATTAAGCTCGACATTCCGATATCGGGAGAACCAGCTCCTGTTCCAGAATGGAAAAAGGGACCCAAGGTAAGCGGTATTATTTTTGGTTTACTCGCTACATGGCAGTATAGTGTTAAAACACGTAGTAAAACTCGTTGGAACTCGTGGTAGTAACGCTGTGAGACTCGATATGTCCATAAATAAAATGAAAATAAATTATATGCTTCCTGACTCGTACAGGTATTGATAAGATAACGTTTATCCTCAAATACTAAAATATACTGACAAATTGATATAGGCAAGTCTCTGCAGTAGTCTATCAAATTTTAGCTCCTTTTTAGCACGAACGACGTCACTTTCACTTTTGTTGAATTTAACTCAATAAAGAGTTTAAAATAAAATAAAACTTCAATTAATTATTTAATTAATTGAATAAAAAATAAAAGTTTGTTATAAACAAAAGAAAATAAAAAGATTATGTTGTTAATATGTTTATTACATTATATATTGCACAATGCCAAATTTCACTAAAAGAACTGGAAACGTCATGCAGGTTATTGAAGAAGACACAAAAAACCGAGTTAGAGTTATTGACTCCCAAAATGGCTCGAAAACTACATTAATTATTGATAAATGTAGAAGAAATGATTCTGGCGAATATACTTTGAATCTTTCAAGCGAGGAAGGCTGTGAAACTGCCATATTCACTGTCAGAGTAATAGGTGGGAGGGCACTCCACGGTTATGAGCATGTTGTCACACTGAAGTCAAATCACTATTTGCAAAATTTAAAAACGTTTTATATTAGTTGATATGAACTTTTCATGTTTTCCGGGTTTTCGATGTACCGACCATGTGATTGATATTGATATGAAATACTGTATCAGCGCTGTCATATACTTGCTTTGAAATCTAATCGTCAATTTATCTGTTATTACTTGTCACAAGAAAAGAATTTCGTTTACGTAACATGCTAGGCTGTATTACGCGGTAACTAGTGCTACCTTTATCTATACCACCCTGTCGGCGTATTTCTGTGGTGAAATATTTTCTGAATTTATGAGCAAAAAATATTACAAAAAAGAAAGGTCGTTTTTTTCTTGAGATGTTTATAAATCTGTGTGATTTTCGTCAAGCCAATCCAATATTACTTCACACTATAACTCTTGACTCACCGAAATTAATTATCTTGCTAGGGCGGTATGCAAATATGTATAAATATAATTTTTCAATCACGAATGACACGATTTTCTGACTGATACTAAGTTCACGCTAAGCACTGATTCACATAGCACTTTCTCACATTTGCACTTTCACAGGATGGCCCCACTGAAACTATTCCCTCAACCGGTAAAAGAATTTGGTCTAACACCAGCGCAGAACACCAGATCACATACATGGAGATTCTTGGTGCAAAGATTTCTGACAGTGGTCTATATACTTGCGTACTGACTTGGGATAAGTCGGACCAAGAAGGCACTGATTCTGAATACATCCGTAGACAAGAGTTTGAATTTTTATTAAAGATAGTTGGTGAGATTTGTTTGTTTTAAACTCTTTTTGTCGAAATCAACCTGAAAGTGATACATATTCACTCAAGTTTGTTAATCGATGTCATCTTGGACCAAGTCATTATAATTACGCTGATGTAGTGAAACAAATTAAGTTTTTGCATCAGTGGTTCTCAACATTTATTCTTTCATTTATCTCCTTACAGATTTAAACAATTAAAATTTATCCCCAAATTTTTCATATTCACGTCGAGTGTACATGACTACAGTAAAGCATGCTTCGATGCTAATTTTTTTTACCCACAAATGAAATTTAACCCGTTCATCGCAGGGGGGTAAAGACTTGTTGAAAAAACTTGTTCTATATATATATTGCGTGATAAATCTTCACTGTAAGATCCCAACTAAAACGTACTCTTCTTGGTCACTAATTTGAAGCGATGTTTGTAAACCTCTTGACTCGACTAACAGCTTACATAGAGTGTTTTTGTGTATTTATTGATGCCAAGTTTGCATGTCGAAATTGTCACAACACTTTGTTATCTCACACATCAATCTCACTCTTACGTTCTATAATTTTTGAACTTTTATGTTAATGCTCTGTGGTTCAATTATAGATTGAAACGAATCTGATTCGGTTGATTTTGAATCATTTCCAGAAATTCATTCACTCTATATTTGGTTCTTTTGAAATACGCTTAGATTTTTACATTTAAAAATGCCGCTTACGAAGAATGAAGCATTTTATTGAAAATTAAATTTTATATTATATGACACTTTGCGTCAAAAACAACAGGTGTTACTAATGTGTTTGTTGATATCAAAATAACAGAAAGGTAAACTCTGTCTCAGTTTATGCAAATATCTCGTGTCGAATCGAGATCGTGTTTTACGTTTTTATTACCGAATTTCGTAATATGTCAAACTTGTGGTACAGTATATGATATGTGGGAATGAGATAAACTTGAATGCTACTGGTATTCCGTTTCATTTATCATGTAAAAAGATAATAACTTTAAATGTCATCGCGGCCTCAAATCTAACGGAATTGCACAATACAACGATTATTAAGCCAATCATGAGGTTATGAAGTCGAATAACCGAACAAAAGTATATTTTTTGATGTGATAAGAATCAATCTATTTTACAATTATGTGAAATCGGAAATGACGTAAGCTAGATAATTAATATATATTCATGGAAATTCCATGAAAAAGTATCAATTGTTACTTTGGTACGCTTGTTGAGCGTTTTAGCAGGGTTAACAAATTTTATTCTCGTAAACAATTCTAACATATTTTTATCTAAATTATTCTGCAGATGTGCCTGCAACTCCAACAACTCCGGTCATCTCGAATGTCACCGCAGAAACCTGCCAAGTTGAATGGAAAGAGCCTGGTGAAAATGCAGGATGTCCAATCAAGGGTAAGATCGTGGAACTATTGAGGAATTTGTAAGATGGTTTATTCCTCATTTTGGTGATTTAAAAACAATCGGCCACGCAATGAATTACCGAACATTAACTAACTAATCCAGAGTATAATGAAACTTTGTGGCTGTAAGCAATGCTGTTTTCAAAATTTGAATAAAGAATCTTTGTTAATTCTTTCTCAACGCCTTGTTCGAGTGAATAAAAAGAAACTTCTTTATATCAGGATACGTAATTGAACGCAAGAAGACTCAGTCAGAAAGATGGATTCGTCTGAACGCAGCACCAATTGAATGTACCGATTACGAAGCTCGTCGTATGATTGAAGGCATTGAATACCAGATTCGAATTCTCGCCGCGAACGCAGTCGGACTCAGCGAGCCTAGCAAACCAAGCTTACCGTTTACACCCCTGGGTAAATAAATTCAATGTATTGAATATTTAACAACTGTTCTTTGGTTCCTTTTATTCATTAATTAATATAATACATTTGTCAACGCAATCATTTCATGAAAAAAGATCGTCTCTAGTCATTTACGCTTTCTCTTCTACACTGCATAACCTAACAATAATTACCCAGCACACACAAACATTTTCTGACATATATATAGTAAACAACTGTGATTAATGATTTAAAATGACATTGCATTGTGCAAAAACTTTATCTACGATATCTTCAATGATAATTGCTTTAACGCTCAAAAATTCTTTTGTATCCAACATTCATCGGTGGCCTGCGTTTTGCGCAGTGTGATCAAAAAATAGAAAACATCCAAATATTTTATTCGCTGTTTTCATACAGCCAAATACCAATGATAGTTTGTGGGTTAATCACATCTCTTGCCATATCTTTCAGTACACTCTTATCGACACGTTAATCGGAATTTGTAACAATGTGTCTATTTATCCCACCTCATTTTTTACGATTTTGTGTGTTTTTACTCAAGTTATCTTATCTTTTATCATATTTTATCTCCCACACGCCTTTTATATGATCACTTGACGTCACACTCGCGCTTTTTATACACGATTTATGACGTATGGTATTTGAAAACATTACGAATCTATTTTCTATGCATGATAAATATATGTATCCATTTTTCGCGAAAGAAAGGATGCGATTGGTCTAAACCCGTCGAAAAACTATCAGCATGATTTATAAGTTCCCAAATTTACAAGAAATTGTTTTGATGATGGAAAATCTTAAATTGATTTAATATAAGAAATATTTGTAACAACTTTATTAAACTTTGCAAATCCACCGAATTTAACAATTAAAATTTATCCCCATTTTTTCTATTACGTCGAGATTACATAACTACGTTTATCAAATAGTAAATCGCGAGTATCAAAGGTTCAGCGCGAGGGCCACGTGCTCGAGAAAGAAGAACATTCGGTAAAGTATTTTTGTCTGTTACTACAGCCACCAATTTTAAACTCTGTTCAAAGAGCAACAATGGTCCCAATATGCGTGCTTTCAGATGCGTTACGATGAATGATATTTGGATCGTCAGTCCGATACATGGCGGTGCGTCCTTTATAATTAATTCAATCATTTTGAATTCGGGTTATTTTTCTTAAAGATTTAATCGTGGGCAAAGTTTTAAAACAATTTGTATGGAAGTAGTTTTATATCTAAAATTCAAAATAACATTGATATGGTAAATAAGATTATTCATACGACAAGCTCAATCTTTGGATCATCGTTGCGTTACTATATCGGACGCATCGCCATTGCATGATATTATTTTTATGTATATGTCATTTTCAGAAATCCCAAATATTCAATCATTTTTATTATTTATTTATAGCTCCCTGCAGTGTTCCAACCAACTTCAAGGTGTCTGCAACTACTGATGACAGCATCGAGTTATCTTGGATTCCTCCAATGGAAATTGGAGCAGCCGGACTTGATGGTTACAAGGTAGTTTATATGTCGATATATCCGCTATATGTCAGTGTTGAGCGACATTATTCTGGCGCCGTTTTAGTGTCGGTTTTAAATATTTCATAAAATGGTTTGACGTGAAGATGATGAATGATTGTATATCTCTAAAGCTTATAGCTTGTTAAAATAATCGTGTTAAAGATATAAAATATGTTAAAATCCTATTAAATACTTTCACGCTTCAATGCCATGAATTCAATTGCTATGCCGGTCCGGGCCATTTATGGATCCACTAAATATTATATTGAAAGTCAAGTTATATCCAATCCATGATTGACACGGTACCACTTTTTATTTTCTAAAGGCCCAAATTGTTGGTACCTCAGATAAAATATTTTCATTTCCAACCAAGCTGAACAAAACAAAATATTGTGAAGATATTCGAAGCGAATTACCACGATAGACTTGAAATATATTTGAAACCGCGAACGGATAAGCGGTTATTAAATCGAAGCATTGAAAACGGGGGTCGCCACCGCGGTCGAATTTATTTGCATAAATACGGCAATATGTCATTCTTGGAGACATAATTTTTCTAGCGATCTGAAAAGTAGTTTGAAAGAGCGTGGTGCCCACATAGTAGTTAACTTGAAATATATACATAATTATGTCCACAAAATATTCAATATTTGGCCTATGTTGATTTCATAATATCATCACCCTAGTGGAATTTTACCTTGGTGGCTTTCGATGATAGCAGCAATGAGTTTTTATTTGTTCGAATATTATGTAACGCATAGACTGAATATGCATCCTTATCGAAGACCAATAAAACGACTAGATTTAGATTGTTTAACAATATATATTAATTCAATACAAATGCCCTAAACAACTTTATTTATTGAGGCACCACTAATGTGTTATTTTAATTTTAAATCCAGTTGGAAATGCAACTCAAAACAGCCGAAGGTGGTGAATGGAAGCTTGTACAAAAAGGTTTATTGAGCAATAAGTTGACCAAAATCAACTTGGAAAAACTGGAAACGTGCAAGAAATACTGTTTCCGAATGAGTGCCGTTAACAAAGCGGGATCAAGCCCTTTCGCGGAAGTAGGACCCGTCGTTTGTGCGTTCCTCGTTGGTAAGTGAGATGAAAATTTTGATAAATCGTCTTAGATAAATAAATATCCCGCTAATGGACATGAAAATTTTACGATCAAAAATTGTTGCAAGTTTTGAGAGAAATTGAAAAAAAGATATATCAAGTCGAGGGCAAGAACATAGTCCGATTGTTATTGCGCTCTTACTTTGCACCAAGAGTTGAAGTGATAAAAAGGATGAAAAGACGAAGCCACGGTTTCCCACTTCAAAAAACACCTATTCATTTTTGGCACGAATATTTATTCGTAAATTCACTATACTTTTCAATATCCCAAAGACGTTTTATTTTAATACCGATATAACTAGTACAAATCTTGCATTTGTATGCACACCACAGTCCAAAAACTTTAGAATATTTAAGGTTGCGAATCAAATTTAGGATATTTCCCAGTTTCCACAATAATGAGCGTTCAACAGGTCACGCCCTTGTCACACCATTGGCGTAATCGATGTTTTATTTGGAGCTAAATAGGTCTTACAGATCATCGATGTTATATAAATAGAATATGACTTGTATATAAAATAATATAAATCATATTCTTATCGCATTAATGTGAGCGAAAGTTGGGCAGCAATATTTGTGACGTAAGTGAACAGACGCAAAAAAATTAGAAATGTTTGATAAACATCAATCCGGAATTAGGTTTTGAATTAGAAACTTTCCCAACATGATATGCATGATATCTAATTAAAAGTGTATTATAAACGAGAAAATCAGACGATATGAAATGAATATTTGGGAATGTTTAGTATATAAACATGGTACATTTAATGGAAGAACATTTGAATTTTTTTTAAGTTCTTTTTACAATATGCCTTATGGGCATTCTTCTTAAAAATATTTGAATGAATATACCATTTACCGCCAAATCAATGATCTTTCGAATTCAACGATAGTATGTATTCGTCCAGTTCGACATTGGAATCAACAGGTACCTATTGAGTGATGTATCCCAACAGCTAATTTGATAATCATAAAACGTCATATTAATGTAAATTATTTTCCAGATTTTTTCATTTTTAACCTCGTAACGGAATTTCCATTCATACAATAACCCGATTGTAATCATTTCCGAAATTTTCCAAGTTGTATAAAAACTAAATAACTTGAGGTTGTTAGTTTTGAATTCACGCATTAAATTTGACACTTACACTCATCTATCATTACTACATTATAAAGTTCATCATATTCTTGAACTCGGGAATCTCGATGGTCGTCGCACGATTTGGCATCGCATTATGTCTGACGGCGCCGATTGACAACTAAAAATATTAACCCTGCCATTTTGGGACTGACATCTCAAATATTTCTTATATTCTACGCGCATATATGGAGTTGTTGTACATGACACTCAGAAAGTATAGAAAGAACAGAGATTATTTTGTGGGCTTGATTGAAATACCTGTTGTAGAAATCTTATCACAAAATCTAGTCAAACTTTGCCTTGACTTGATATTTGACTTTGAAATCACTCAAATTTCAACACGAGCGTTTGAAGCATTCTTCAAGAATGTTATACCAATATAAAGACCTAAGAAGTATAGATTTGACAAATGCCCTTGCGAATTTTTTTACAGTTAATTTTTGTCAAAGTTCACATTTATTCAAAAAAATATTGATTATCAAAATCTTTTTTCATTTGCTCCACTTTTTTATTTTTCATTTAAGTTCATTTTTTAATTATCTCGTATACAACTTGTGAGTTTTCACTAAACGCTTGTGTTTTATAATCTTCTTTAATCGGAGTATTGAATAACACAATACTCAATTTCATTTTTGTAAACGTCATAGTAAATTTATAAAACTCGCAGTGCTCAAAGAATTAATTTGATGTCAAAGTCAAACCCAAGACAAGACGTGACCGGTCTATCGACAGTTCCGATCTTGACATACTTATGCTGTTTTAAGTTTGAGTAATTTAACAAACCTGGGACGAGGACAATTTTATCGTACATCACTAACTTCCATATAGGCCAATTATAATATATTTAAGATTGCAACTCCAGACATGGTTTTACATAATATTAACATATAACAATGAAAAAATGTTAATGGTATAGATATAGCAACACGTAATAGTCCTATAATTAAACCGTATCATATTTTTTTGCATTTATCTCATGTAATGACTTTAGTTATTGTTGTTAAGCAATATTTATGATTTTTTTTTATTAACTATAAAACAGAAAGAAAAAATCTTGAAATTAATCTAATATATTTCATTAACATTTTGGATAGTTCAATAAATGAATATTTCCCATATTTACATTCCCATTCAACCAAATGCAATGAATATATGTTTTATCTAGAATTAAAATTTATATTACTTTCTATACTATAGGCATAAATGTAAACGTATGAGTGATACGTCGTTTTTTCAGAGTTTGCCGGAACATGCCTTTTGCATCTTCTCGCAATTTTCACTAATTATATGATGATATGACGTAAATATTTACGCACATGATTTGCGACGATGTAGTAGTCTTATCTTAAAACTCAAAAATCATCTTGAATAGGCTTCTAGAACAATCTTTACATAACATAATAACGATCTCTTTCCGTTTTGATGCACTAAAACATCAAGTCATGCATCTGATAAAAGTTGGAAATTGCATTTTCGTAGAAAGATTGTAGATTTTATCAAAAAGCAAACAAACGAAACGGGGTAAGGCCATGCATATAATGCAGAATAACATTTATTTTTTGCGTCTAAATCGTAATTGTAAGATAAGTAAGTAACCGCTTGTAAGATAAAATCTGAGCTCACGTCAAAAGTCCTAATTTTGCCAGATATTGGCTATTAAAGATGACTAACATGGAAACGTAGTCCCAATAAATATACTATTATTATCATTTATTTATAATTTTAATCAAATAACTATGACGTCAATTTGGTTGACAACAGACACGACTATTCAGTTTCGAATTTGTGATAACGCCATAATGTTATGGGGTATTCCCATTGCTTTCCAAATTAATGGGGAAAATTTGTGAGGTAGAAAAAACTAGGGCTACTGAAAAAACGTCGGGTGACTCCTTCGCACGGCGGGTAATTGAATAGTTGTTTCTACAATTTATAACATGCAAATCAAATATGTTCTGTATGTCTATGTGCATTTTTCTTCTCAAACGCTCAAATGGCAAAAGGTTTTTTCTTGTGAAATAAAAACATAGTCAATAATGAAACAGATAAAGTAGTCTTTCCCTAACTTTTTAATATTTGTATTATGAGTAGGATAAGAGGAGAGCTTTTTCAACTCTCAAAATCTTGATTTATGGCACTATATAATATAATAATGGTGACTACTTTCGTTGAAAAGATGCTGAGTGCTTGCATTCTAAGATGATCTCACTAACCAAAAATGTCAAAGGCTATATATGAGATTCGCCTGAGTCATTATTTCTAATTTTATTTGGTGTTATTTTAGTGTTTTGTAAAGCAATATATATTTATTTACAGATAAAATTACAGCATACCTGATTAGTTTTAAAGTGCAAATACCATCTGGCTTGCGTGACATATTTTAATCAATTTATCTAAATTTTTGTAGGCAATAGGTAGAAAAGTAAACTATGCCAGAAACAGCACGAGTTATCAATGGTACATTAAACGAAAGTTTTAAACAGACAAACATAGCACTTTAAAAGGTTGTTTTAGAGTGAAACTCGATGCTTTTGTGGTCAATTCATATTTTTCGACTCTGTAAAAATCTTCAAATATTATGTAACGTGCATACCGAGATTTTGTATGAGATTGAGTTAGGATTACATGTTCTTGACTTGAAACAACACTGAGCAATGAAAATTGGTTACATAAGTTGGCATCATGCACGTGTGTTTGCACTATTTAGAAAGAATATATTTGATTATAGGGCGCTACAATTTTACCTACTTTGAATATATGCAGATTCTATTGAATGTAATGGTTGCTTGTTTACTTTAATTAATATCTTACCGGTTACAAAATAGAGTACCATATTATGTTAACAATGCCTTTCAGAAACATTCCTACGGTTTTTGTCAGAATATCGATTCCATGTTCATTCATGTTCCAAAATTAGCTATCTTTTTGTATGTTCTGAATTTTCAAAAATTAACAAAAAGTGAACAAAATCACATAGTCTATCGGCATTTGTAAAAAAATAAAAAAAATAAAATAATTTTGAAATTTGATATTTTACAGAGGAACCGAAGATATCTCTACCAAGACCTTATCTGAAACCGGTGAAAGTAAAAGTGGGCGGTAAACTTCATATCAATGTGCCATATCAGGTATGTCAACTTTATAAACTGTTTGTCTTGGGAAATATATATGAAATATATATCTATCTATTGCTCTGGGAACAAGTTGGTAAAATGCACATAGATCTGAATATCTTTGTCATATTTTGCTTTTTAGAAATTGTTTAGATGATTTCAAACATGTTCGTGATAATGATATTTTTTCACATTGGTTATGGCTTATGGGTGGGTGGAATTTAATTACAAAAACTAGGGCCTGCAATGAGGGGAGTTAGAGCAGAATAGCAACCCCGTCATATCATTTTATCATTACTTTAAAAAATAGTCTACTCGATACAAATACCGAAGGTCAGCAATTTCGTTGGGGATATCCCTGGTATTCAAACTGCATGAAACTAGATCAAAACAATATCGCGAACTCAAACTTAGCAATGATTTTCATGTTTGTCAGGTATATTATATTTAATATAATTTATTTATAGCAACAACATGAAAAGCATTCACGATGTATGGTATCTCGATCTCGCATCAATGTTTGTCTCGGATCAAAATATCAAATAACTTAGAGTTTTCACGGAATATAGCGATTTAATGCAATAGATGATGCGAAACGTGTAACTTTATAGCTTTATATGCTTACTAGTTTGCAAAATGCATGTCCAAGTTCGTGGAAAAAATTTAAATTGTTATTTTGTGAAAATTCAACCTACTTACCGCTCGCATTATTGTATTATTGTTACAAATATTTTGAAAACATTACTATCACGCAACATAGAATTGCAAGTATCGTCACGAATATAGCACATAATACAATATACTTAGAATGGTTAGAAGGTAATTTAAACTCGTCAATAGTGAATCTTTCTCGCTCAAACCCAATACTATACCCCATTAACTAACTTTTTAACTTATGATCATTTCTTATCTGCACTATAATATATTTAATCGGGCTATGCGGAACAGTAAATTATATGCATCCACGCGTGTTTACACTGAGTTCATACAAACGATTCAGCTCCACAAAATAATAAATTTATCACTGTTCCGTGTTTTTTTGCAGGGAAAACCAAAACCAGTGTTGACATGGACAATGGACGAAAAACCCTTGGAGGAACACGTTGCCGTACGTAACTCTCCTGACTCCACAGTGCTATTCATTAGAAAAGCTGAACGATGGGATTCTGGTCGTTATCAACTGGAATTGAAAGTTGGGGAAGATATTGTAAAAGCACACATTGATGTTGCTGTCATTGGTATGATATTTCACTGTCATTCCATCCATACTCTATGCTTTTTCTAGAGTTGAATAGCAATATTTTGAAAGATATAGCAAGCTATTATCTTATTGTCGATTTTCTTTATCTGATTAAGCTTAATTTATATCTGTTGGTCCCCTAGTTACTCTAATTTCTACTTGACTTCTTGATCATCAAATAAATTGTCCAATCGAGACTATCGGAAATGCCTTAAAAATGACTCGAAAAACTATCATAATTTATAAAATAAAACAAAAATAAGTTTGAATAAAAAATTGGAAACGTTAAATTCATAAATAAATTCTGCTATATTTATGAGAGTTTGAACACCTGCAAAGTATCATATCTGCAGTACAGCCACAAAACTAATCTATTTATTTTATTTTCCATATATTTCTATTTTTCCCGGTATATGATGTACAGCATTTTTTTCACCTTCTCATTAGTCATTAGGTATATAAAAAATTAATCGAGTTTATGCCTAAAAACGTCTTAAGATAAAGTGTAGACTGCAATCATAACTTATTTACAGATATCCCATCAAAACCACGACAAGTAAAACTTGTTGAAGTGCTTGGGAATTCAGCTTCACTCAAATGGGAAGAACCGAGCGATTCTGGCAACACTGATATCATTGGCTACGTGGTTGAAAAGAGGGATGCCAGAAGTGAAGATTGGTAAGTTTTTTTTACTCTGTCAGAGGATAATCCAATGAGGTAGTTTTATTGTTTTGCATGAGCCATAAATGAATCGCGCTATCAATAATGTCGCACTATTAGTGGCCCATATTAATTGCACACAGAAATGTGAATTATTCTTTCTCGTGTATATAAATAGCGTTGTTTAGTTTAAACAGCTTGGGGGATTTTGAATAATTTGCGGTTTGGTTTTCTCTCCAATATTTACTCTTACATACATTTGTCAGCTTATTTATCACAATATAATCCAACAAAGTACATAATGTCATCTGAGAATTACACTTTCAATCTTAAAGCAATCCCATTTCTGAAAGATAAAATCTTGCCTTGAAATGCTGAAACTTGGCAAATAACAACTAGATTTTTAGTGTAGTGAAAATCAAAAACGTTTTTGTTGTATGGCTGAGTATGTTGATAATGAAATGAGAAAATCATGCAACGTCAATTCCCATTTTTAAACCGCACAAGGGTAATATGTTTAGTGGACCAGGAACATAGAATATTCTCTGTTTTAAAACCTATTAATTCCCTGTTTGGACTGATTAACTTCTAAGTTGCCCATTGCCTACGGCCTTACTCTCAGTTAACGTGTTGGTTGTAAAAAATTATGTATCTATGTAGTTTTCAGCTGGTTCGGGTTTACACAATACAAATTTGCCGCAAAAGTGCGAATATATTGGGGTAATGTCAGACTGTTTTACGCATGGTCAAGTGCGTGATGTTTAGTACACAGAGTTTGTATTAAAAACGAGAAAGGGGAATGATTTATAAAACATAACATGGCTTTAAAGTTAAGGATACACATGGTTTACGTGTCATTACGTCTTCTGAAAGTAGCAAACCAACACAACGTTATTAATTTACGCTTTATCAAGTTTGGTTTTGATATTGGAAAAGCTGGAAGTTTTCGTTAAAACTTGCCCTTGCATTTCGGTTGACTTGGTTGACAGTTGCACACCGAATATGAAATATTTTATGGGCAGGATGGTTACGGAGGTTTGCATCGGAGCAATTAATCAAAGTTCTGAAGGCATCAAATCGTTAAAACATTCAAAGCCATTATCTAACTGTCATCAAAGTGACAAGCTGACAATCGGTAGCTTCCCAGTCACTCAAAATAAACCATTTCCAGAAAATCGTTTGAATATACCCGCCGCGTTGATGTCGAAGAAGAATACTTGTTTCTATAACAACAAACAATCAAACTTATTTGAATATTAAAGTTATATCAGGGTTGTCCAAACTAAGTCCATACCCGAATCATTAACATAACATGATTGTACGTGGATAATTTGATATCGGAAACGGTAGATTAATTTTAAGCATTAATGTGTTTTGTCTTGAATGAAACAATTTCCGATTATATAAAGATAACGCATGAAGTATGTTGTAGCAATAAATATAACAGCAATTTGGTGCAAATAATGTGTTTTTATTTGCCTTCAGTTATGCTACTGTTTGTTATGTCTTTTTTATCAAATCAATGTATATTCACCATTGAAAGTAGATAAGAAGCGTTCGCCACAAAATACTGAGCGTGTTTGTTGACATTATTCTTTATGTTCTTTCAGGTTTGTTGTTTACGACAAGCTCCGACACAAGCAATGCCAAGTCAGTGATCTGGTCCTGGGAAATAATTATTTCTTCCGAGTGAAAGCAATGAATGAAGTCGGTGTCGGGGATGGAGCTGCAACAAAGGACAGTGCAAATATCCCCAAAGAAAGTAAGAACTTTTAGTTTTCCACAGAAGAAGCAAATTCAAAACAACAATATCGATGGATACTCTTTTTTGTGTCAAACTAATGTTTCAAAAGCTTATGCGATACGATATTCAATTAACTGTTTCAAGTTATATAATATTCCGTAGTGTCCAGGGTAATTAACATATGTCATACTATTGCTTCATTTTTACCCCTTCCTCACATATAACATAATATTAATATCCTACACGAATTTGACAGAAACCGTGTACAAAAAGCCAGAATACGCAGCAATGGATTTCAGAATGAAGCCAGAATTTACTCAAACTCTCAATAACAGAAGAATTGTTGAAAACTACAACGGAACACTAAGCTGTGCTCTGAAATGCAATCCAAGACCCAAGATACGTTGGTTTAAAAACAAGATCGAAATCATTGATAACCCTAAATACAAGCTGACTCAGTCTATGGGTAAGTGGTGTTTACGTCACGTGATGTGCTTTTTCCCGTGACTTCTGGTCAAAAGTTTATACCGATTTGACCCTTGCTATGTAATGGTATCTACTCTTAGAAATGTCGTTAAATTTTCTGCACTATTGACGAATTTATGGTTATTTTTCATTTTTTTGAGTACGCTATCATACACGGATGGTTGGCATAATTCCTACTGTTCAATTATTATTTTTTCAATTTTACAGTATACTCGTATACCAGTAAATTAACAGGAATTTTGTTATTGTCTAGTTATTTCACTACAAATAAAAATGTTTTACTTTGTAATTGTTAGAAGCATCCCTCTTGCATAAGAACAAAATTGACTAAATATATAGCTACTATGAAAGTTTTTTGACTTAACTTCTATTTCACTATAGTGATAAATATCCCTTTATTGACCCCCTATTAACAGAGGAAAAATTGTTCTGAAATATTATACTTTTTGTTGAAAGAAGGGTTTTTGACTTCAAGGCTTATCTCAATTGGCGTGAAGCAGGTTTAAGAGGCTGTCTCTCACTGTAACACCAGAATTTTTGTTTATAGCTCGCTGTAGGTGTTTACAAACCAGTAGAATAAGTATTTATATTTTCTGTTTGTAATGTAATTTTGACTTTAAGTTGAATTTGCTAATTTTAGACCAGATTTTAATAATTTTCCAATCACGTCATAGATAGATAGACAGATCGACTTCACGCCTTAATTGAGTAGTTTTTGTAGTGTCTGCATATTAAATTCCGATGATATAAATTGTTCCTCAGTATGGGTGATTATATACACAACCCCAGATTCCCCTATTCCGAGTGCAGTGCGATCACTTTCGCTCAGAGTTTGAAGGGGTTATACATTAATAGTATTGCGATTAGAAATACTCAAAATCATGAACATTGAATGACTTATAAATATGATATAGTATATGAAGCTTTTCATATGTCTTTGTTAATTAACAGGAATCGTACAACTTGAAATTCGTCGTGCAAGACTGAATGACGCCGGCACTTACACAGTTACTGCTACGAACGAACTCGGAGAAGCATCCTGCTCTGCTGAAGTCACCATCAAAGAAATCAAAGGTTTGTTCCTAGTGTTAAACTCGTAAATTGATAGCAACATATAGTTTCAACAATATCCCCTGCTTATATCTTTTCATTATTTTTACAGCTCAAGGATAAAGGAGGTATTCGAAGATGTATTCAGATATCGGTCAAGAATGTGTTTTCATCAAATCCTATCAACTTAATTTGAAATAAAAGACTCGTGCTTGACGAACATCATCTGTAAATGATAATGATATATTATATTCTTTATTCTTATAATGATTGTTATTTATGATTGACCAATTTGGATGAGTCACGAATTCGATAAAAATAACATTTTGTTTCTGAATTAATAAATTATACATATATTTATAATATAGTACAATTCAAATCATTTTGGAAATTCGGTAATTTATTGAGTAACTTAGAGAATTTGATATTATTAGAAAAATACATTTTCTCCAAATTCTGAATAAACCAATAGTTGTAACGAGCGCTCTATACAATAAGTCACTTATTAGAAAGCAGCTGAGATTGAAAGAATCAGAATCATGTTTTAGGAGGATTCATTCTTTTGATGACGTGAAGTTAATTTTTTTATTTTTATTTTATGATTAAAATCGTAGACCAATTTTTGTGGTGATGAACAAATATTTTCTGGTTTTGTCAAATTAAAAGGCCATTGCGCATTCACTCACTAATGGAAACAAAATTATATAACATATAATCGCTTTAATATTATGCAATCATTTAACTGCTCATTTTGTCGGCAGAAAATAACTTCGGATTGTTTGAATGTAAACTGAAATATATTAAATATTATATAACATTCAAGCCGTTCCGAAGTTCCAAGACTTGAGATTTCAACAGTGCTTACTGAATTCTCGTTTCGTGCATGACAAAGTTGTTTGCAGCGTATTTTTTAAAAATAATGTTTTCCATGTGTTGTATGTATTTCTATAGGTTACAGTAAAATGTTATTCATTTTTGTAAAATAAATTGTTGAATTCAACATTGGAAATGTTAGACTTGGTTTTAAAAGTGTTCAAATTTCATCGACCTTGTATTAGCATAGATTATTTAACGTTTTGTTCAACGAATAAATATAAACAATTATTGGGTATTTAGTTATTTTGAATAATATCTTTTTATTTCATCTGTCAACTTATTTTGTTGTTAATTTTGTAAATAAATATTATTTCAAAATATATTATATCATATGCATGACACAGAAAGATGACGTGTGTTAAAATATGAGTATTTTCATATCAGTTGCTAGATGCCGTTGTTAGATTTATTAAATGGTGGTTATCTTTAAATTTTTATGCTTTGAGTATTTGTACTCTAATTTTGAAAATTTATGCCAACTTCCCCACTTATCTATTCATTCAAGTTATTCCAATTATTTAATTTAGTTGAGGACAATACATGGTGCGGCTACGTAAAAGTGTATTAGGATATTTATATCTCTAAACTTTGAGGCACGCTGTTACTTGATGTGATTACTGAAAGCTCCCTTATTGCAAAATTGACACAACACAAGAAAAATTCTCCTCACGCTATTACTTTCGATATAATGATATGATATTTTTTCTTAAATTTTTCATTTCGTTTTTCCATTCAGTGATTTTTCCTTTCCGCGTTCAAGTTGCTGCAATGCAATTATTCAAATGTATTTCCATATCACAATGATTCACAATGGAAACCATGATTCATTGAGAGAAAAATAAAATACAACACGATTGCCATACTTAAGGTTTGGTATCAGGAGCGATATAAAGTAATTTGGTCGAAATTGCATACTTATCGTCACATTATGGTATTCAAGATGGCGTTTATGTGACACGATATACAAATGGGAATATCCGAGATATCGTGACCTTTATGACTGTCAAATTGAAGAGTTATTTGAGAAAATTACGTATTAATATACTTTCAATAAATTCAATTATTCCAATTATATATTGCATCAAATTGACATAAACGTTTTTCATGTTTCGTATCTGGATGATTTGGTTATAAAATACATTTATTCACTTCATTCATTGGTCACTGTAGTTCAATTTATATTTACGGTCGAGTATACGATTAATAATTCAGAAGTATATCAAAAAATATTTGATAAGGTATTGCAATATATATATTTTATCAGTCAATATACTGATAAAAGTTTAAAATAGATTCTATAAATATTGTAATCAAATTGAGATACAATTTCAAAATTCAATTTTTTTTCCAAATATGTATGTCGTTCTTAAAAATAAAATTCATATGAATTATTCAAACAAAAATGCATAATCGGTTAATTAAGATTAAATTTAGACCACATTCAACAAGCTGCATTAATTAAATATAGTAACATTTTTGTATTCTATTCATGAAATCAAGAGAAAATAGTATTTTCAGCGCAATGTGATGTAATAATCTTCATCGAAATCTCCTAATAGCACGAAGAACATTAATATCATTATATTGTAGTAAAGAAACAAGTTTTGTTTTTTCAAAGCAATTGCAATTTGTTATGAACTACTTTGATAACTATATATCATAAATAGTTTGTTGTTGCAAACTGTAATTTTGAACTTACGTAAAAGTTACATAACTACAAATCTGACCGAACTACTACAGTTAATAGTCAGGAACCCACTTCTTCATTTCTCTATTAGTCGAAATATCGTTTTGTCAAAGTTCAGTTCACTAAAGTGGTAGATATATTTGTGTGGTAACGCATTTTTTTGTTTTTGTGTGTTTTGACTCCTTGAACACCATTATAGTTCAAACCGACTAGAACTCAAAATCCTGTATACCTGTTTAAATAGAAGAAAAATTACTGTTGGGTGATTTTCAGATTGGTGCATGAACTGGATGATGCCTCATCAAACTATTACTGTCAAGTTATCCCCAGTATCACATCAATCATCACATTAATTTAAACGAATAAATGTTTCTATTGTCTGAACTACCTGAAAACCTTCCCAATACAATGCGAAAAGAGCACATCTACATTTTGAACAAAAATAGAAATGAAACAGTAACCGATATAAGATAAAATTACATTGTGATAGCATTATTTTACAAAACCTCAATACAATAAAAACCGAACGCTGCCAAACATGAAAAATGAGACAAGCATTTCCCAGGACATATATTCTGCAAATATTACTGCTGCAGAAGTATTTTTAATGATACGAAGCAGACTACATGTATTTTTGACCTCTCGGGTGGTAAAATATGATTTTCTATTTTAAATCAAACTAGAGATCAAATTTCATCTTGAGTGATGGGTTTTTACTAGCATACAATTTGATCCGATTAACGGTTAGATGAAATATGAAATATATCAAGTGAAGTGTATGAACTTGTTATATAATATTTTACATCATTGAGTGTCAAATATACGATACTTTATATCAGATTTTTTATGTAGATTGTTATATGTTAGATATGTATGTAATCAAACCATAGGATATGTCTAGGTAAATATTGTGTTCTATATTTAAGTACGATCGTGGAGCCTATGATAAATGCTATATTTCGATTTACTATTTTGTGGCAATTTCGGTATTAGCGATTAGTCACGTTGTTCTGAAGTAGACGACATATTAAATTTTATGCAATATAATAAATTACCAGCCAGTTTGGACAATCAATTTTAAAACCGCAATAAAAATAAAAACAATTCATGGTAACTTGCTTCATTTCCAAATTACCAATTTGATTTGCTAAATAAAATATTTAATTTGTGATAACTAACATTCAAATCAGTTTTCATCAATAAAATTCAAATCAAGTTTTGAGAAGGAAAACAACATATTTAAAAAGTTCAACATAAGCTTCGGGATAGCTTACTGAAATTGGTTACAGATTTTTTTCCTGAAAAATATTTTTATAAGGCTTGACTTAACATAAATTTTTCCAACATAAAATAAATACTGAAAATCCAATAATTATAGAAGTTAAACAGGTTCTATTACATCGTCAGGTTCAAATAATGGAAAAAAGTGGGGAAATTATTATATAAGAGGTGAATAATGTTTGATACGGATGAAATTCGTTATCGGCAACTCATAACATCCCACATAGCAGGATAGCAGCACATGATAAAGATGGATACCTAACGTATAAAATCTTGATTATCAAATAAATTAAACTGAACAATTGAACTGTCAAAAAGGTCACTTTTATACAGAATGAGGTTTACAATTTCGTATAGACTCAAATACACTTTTTGTGGGATTCTACATTTTCTATTGCCCGAAGCGTAAATATGAAACTTTCACACTGATTATAGGTTTTATCAAGTTGACAAAACATATTCAAGAGTGGATTAAATATATTTATATCTATTTAAACTTAGTCAAAGTCTATTGGTAAAAATTATTCGAAAAAAAGCTTGAAATAACGGTAAATCCCCAAACATCAGTTTCAGATCAGGCTTGAGGGATCTTTATTGGAGAGAAACAGAGATACCCTATCCTATACTTATCTCACACCCTAAAGATCTCGAGCAAGTATGGCTAATATTTGCATGACCAATAAAAATGTGGGCAATTCATTTTGAAAGTATTTGGCAAATTGACAAATAGCTTCGTGAGAGTGTAAGCTTCTGTTTTGTTGTTTATCAAAACATTCAACTAAGTCAGGTGGTGATCTAAAGTGCTATGTGGGTAAAACACGAGCTAACAAAAATTGTCAAATCAAACTTAAATATCAATTATTGCTATCTTATAATCAACAAAGAGTAACACATGAATGGTACATGGATAAAACGCACACTTACCTGTGATATAATTGTGATCCATGCTCAAGCAGAAATGTATTGAATTTTTCGAAAAATCATACATCTTATTACGTCATGACAAAATCTATGATTTGCTACATAATTAGTAAAAAGCTTCCATTGTGACGTTATTACAAAACAAGACTTCATATTTCATAATCATAACACCAACAGTTCAACACCACAGTACATCATGAATACTAAGTAGATGAGATGATGTAATATTAGTTTTTTCAATTTTAATGCTGTTCTATTTTCAAAATTTCAGGGTAAAATTTGTTTGTTCAAAAAATTTCAATTTTTAGGTGGGCAGCTTGTCTTCTTTTATGAACACTGAACTTTTTACTGATCTTGTACTGGTATTATTTTCTTCAGAAACAAATGTATATTTTTTGCGCTAATAAAGATTTAATCTAACACTAGAATCTTTCCGATAAAGAGCTTTATTAATATTAGTTGTGTTCTGTAAGACAAAACAGTTGATAAATTTCATTGAAATGGGTATAAATTTTGTCGTATTTTTCCCATTATTCACATTTATCCCATATTTCACATTAAAATATGGAAAGTAATCCCCAGCCTTCTGATCTGTGGTACTACAGAAAATTAGGGCCTAGGTGTCTAATAACTGTTGTAAATATTTTGGGCGTCAGGTGGTCGCTGGGATTTTGTGTCACCGTTTCGTGTTAAATCACAAATTTGTTGAGGAAATTGTCCATGAAAAGAAGGTTCCCACACAAGTATATTAGTTACGTTTAAACACTGTTCAAGTATAATCCTTAGATTTATGGCGTATATGATTTGATTGAATCATTGGCCATTCAAGGTCAATGATGACATTCCCTTAACCCCCACAGGGACGAAACAAAAGCGTTTAGCTAAGCTATTATTTACATGATCGCGACAAGATGTGTTCAACCAAAATATGGTTTGCAAAACTAGGAATGCAGAGTCGTCTCATTGGCGTGAGATGCATGAAGTAAAGAGCATAATGACAACGAGTAAGTACTTGTGAAAAATACCTTCTGAAATTGTACCCGAATCGTGAACTATGTGAATTTTTTCGGATATTTCTCTTGTTATGGCTATTTGATGACGCATACAAAATTGCTTGATTTGTTATCTAAAATACATATTCGTTATAAACAAATTTTTATAAAATTCTATTTCTTCATTTTTTTCACACTTTCTTGATACATCTTCATTATTTATAAAAAAAATTTCAAAACAGATCATATAACACACTCTGGTGCAGGGGTTTTCAAACTTTATTCTCTCATTTACTTCTTTGCAAATTTTAAAAATTGTGTCGAAATACTATTTATTTCTACTTCTACGTAATCCTTATTTGTACACCCCAGTAAAATTGACCTCCGCGCCGAGTCAAAATTTTCCCAACAGGTCTGGGAATTATTTAATTTGGCATAAAGCTATTGTGGATGCACGCCCTTGAATAAATTTTTTTTGTTTTATTTGCAAATTCTTCCTTTTTTAATAAACGCTTGGTGTCGCTATACACCAACTCAAATCTTGCAGTTGATTTTCAAAACATAAATAAATGCAACGTGCTAGAACTACAAGATAGTTCAAATGTATAATTCGTTAAAAGTTTATAGTGATATAATACTAGATAAATCACGACCTACCAATAAGTCTTTAAAATCGATTTGAAACATTTCCAAAACACTTTTGGTCGATTATAGGCGGATAAATATCAAATTTTTGTTAAAATTTTTTTTGCAGCACGCGAATCAATAATTAACGGATGGTTTCAAGTATAAATTATTACTATACATTGGACATAACACATTTTATATTCCAGAATGCATGTCTTAATATATTCAATTTCTTTGAACATAAACTCAGGCAATGTCCAAAATAATATGTTAGTAGTTAATATGTACCATCACACTTCATTACATAAACGATGTAAAAAAGTTGCTTAGAAGCAGAGTTTAAAGCACAGTTAA